ACACTGCAGGAAACTAAACAAAGCGTCACCGAAGATAAATTGGTTGATTAATATTGTTTCGAATTGTTGTCAAAAAAAAAAAAAAGCAAAAAAAAAAAAATAAACAAATGAATAAATTGAAAGCGTTATTGGGCGCAAATGAGCGTTAAATTTGGGCAAAGCCTCGCGCGAGTACGGTTGACGTTGCTGTGGCTGCATTCTGTTGTATTGTGTATGCGCGCAACATCCATAACGAGGAATTGTTATAAGAGCGTGAAGGCAAACGATCTGGCGCACGTGCCGCGTGCTGATTAACTTTGCTGCTATCTATCCTACAGACACAGAAGCTCGAGCTGCTGCTCGCGGGGTCCGGCCACGTCCGTTATCTTCCATTTCTCTCGCCTCTTGCGTATACATGTAATGCGTTTTTAAGAGGAGTAAGGCAACGAGCGCACGAGTCGTTGCTTTCGATGCTGAGATGCGAGCCAGCGAACTAGTATGTGTGTAATAATAATTTGAGGAATCGCTGCAGTGAGTCTTGGTGCGGTTTTGCGCGATTTTGCGGTTAAAACTCTAATTTTACGCAACGCGTGCGAGATGTACAATGTTGCTGATTGACAAATGCGTCAAGCGAGTGAGTGAGAGAGAGAGAGAGAGAGAAAAAGAGATAATCGTCAGGAGCTGACTCGAAAAGAGATTTCAACGGTTCGCAGTTAATTTCATGCGAATCCTTTAGAGTAGCTCCGCAGTCGGAGTCATTTAACGCTGAAAAGGATGGAAAGTGGCGGTGGCGGCGTCGACGGCAGGTGTAGACACGCGATTAAGACCGCGTTGAATCGGTCGCGGTTTATCAATCATCTGCTTCATAGAAAAGAAACACACCTCGAGAGTCATTGCACAAATGTATATAATATACATGAAAATATACTTGTATAATCCTGGCGGAATATTTGCTCAGCTACATGGTAGCGGCTCGCGAGATGTTAAACGGCCTTATTCGCACGTATATATATGCACACGTTTTATAGTATAGACACATAGACTAGTGCAGCGAGCGCATTATCTCGCGGAGAAAAAGGATCTGCAGCAACAAAAGGTATTGAGTCATCGCGTCGTCGTGGTCGTTGTCTCGCCGCCGCTGGATCTCTTTTCCAATTGCAACATAGGATATGAGGCTCTCCTCTCGCGATCCCGACGACGCACTGCACTCACACACACACACACACATACACACACGCGCGTGTATAAAGGATTCTCTCTCTTATAATATTATAATGGCTTTAAGCGCGTACAAATGAGAGGACTCTATATATTATGTACGTATATGTGTATGTATTACATAGACGCGAAGAGTGCGCGCGAATCACCGCAGCGAGCTGGCGCTTTCTCTTTGACGCGGCGGTATAAAAGCGCGTCAGCTCTCGCTATTATGTACGACACGAGGCAGTCCAATGCTGATGAGGAGCGGGTTCGATGACACTCGCTCGGCAATTATAAGCCAAGACGCTTCACGAGCTTTGTAATGTATTATATATACGCGAGTTCTTTACAATAACTATACATACATCCAGTTATATAGACGATCGGCCGCTCGCTAATATCTCAGGGACGCGAGCGTCCTTTCGATAGAGGCTTTTTTTTATAATATGCACGCACTGCACGCGTGACGAAACTAACGATGGATAAATTTTACATCGGCAATGTGCGCTTATAGCCGATGTACACGCGTACTACTTTAAAACGATTTTATTGGACAGTTGGAAGATTCGATTGCGAGTTTGCCTCATCTTTTTTTGTCTACGTGTATTGCACGAGTGTCGCGGACTAATTATCGGCCGCAGCGATCGCTTATAAATAATGACATTCGCATGGGTATTTAGCGGAAAAACAAGAGGCTCGAGGAGCTATTGAAAATCGATCGCTCGGTCAACTGCGCGATGCGAGGCTCTCGCACGTATCATACGTACACATACGCGATTTCGCGGCCAATGCAAATACCCAATTGGCATTCCGGAGCGCGCGACTATATAGTTCGAAGATGAGGATCGCAGCGGCAGTAGCAGTTTGATTCGCATTATACTAGCTCCGCGCTCGCCCATATATCTTTGCATTATATACATATAGAGGTGGGGATACATTTCGTCCATAGCCAAGGTAATAACGAGAGGCGCGTATACCGAGCGCTAATTCGTACCGTTTGGATTTACGGTTTCCTCGCGTATTATACGCTCGGCGCAGAAACGCATCGATAGTTATGGAGGCTCGCGGTGAGTAGCTCGGCTCGCGAGATCGCCAGGTGCGTGCGTAGTTGTATATAGCATGGCGCCCGATCGATCATTATAACTTCCACGCGAGCACGTGGTGTGGATGTTGATATTCGTACATGGACTGTCCGAGCCCCGTAACGAGATCCCTATGTATGCATGTGGCAGCGGCAAGTAGTAGCCGTACGGATAATTCGATACATATACGTAATAATACTTGGCGCGTACTTTTGTCCGCGATATCGTTCGAGTCTGTAGTGTACGCGATGTACAGTTAAGCCGATGAATCAATCATGGAGCGCCGCACAACACCGGCTCGACTTAATGATGTGCCTATGCGAGATGATTTCGCAAATTGCATTTGTTGTCTCGCTGTGCTACCTGTCGCATTCGCTTACGCTATAGTCACGGGTATAGGCGCACGTGAATCGCGTCGTTTGTTACGGATATAATCGTCGCCATTTGTCAATGTCTCGCTCGATCTTACGGTTCGTCAAAATCTTATACCTGCTATACATATACTCTAAAATACTTGTTGTGTATAAATTGTAACGGTTCCGATCTTCGGCGATATGTACGTTGAGCGGCCTCCTCTTCAATCTTGTATTATAAGGATCGATACGTCGCACAGTACGCGCGTAGAAATCAAAGCGGATATGCGATGGAAAATGAACCAATCTAGAGTAGCTGTTATGCCAAGGTTGCATTCTGCAATTGCATTAACTCAAATGATTTGTTTTTGGATAAATAACCGACTTAGCCTTGTTAGAAATTCTCAACATTTTATAGCCAATTTTTAACCAACGAATGAATTCTTGGGCATAAAAGAGCCATTAGAACCGGACATATACTATAACCAAAAGTGTAACGATTCATTATATATTAAATGAACATTTATTGCTCCTCGGTTTTAAGCAATTTCATACCTGTTTTTTGACAATAAAAATTCTTGCTAATTAGATTATGAATTAATTAATATTGCTAATTAGCTATATTAAAACGCACTTTCAATAGTAATTTTTTACTTTTTAAACGTTAACTAATTTGATCATGTTATATTGCATTTTTTAACATTACCGTTAATACTTGTATGCTAAGCTTTGAAATTTTCATTTTCAAGAAATTTAAAATATGGATAATATTTTAAACATAAATGTCACAAAATAATCGCCAAAACAAACCAATTTACGAGAACGCATTTTGAAACATTTTAAATAGCCATTTTTTTAATCATCAGGCCCTCATTAATATTGAGTAATTCTAGCAGAAATTATGTAGCTGCCTAAATGTCATTGTATGATTTCGCATTTTATCCAGTTTAGCTTGTAAGATCCAAAATGTTAATCTCCAACTAATTTGGTTTAATAAATAAATACTTATGAATTAGGAATGGTCAACTCGACAAACTGCTAATATATCAGCGAAATTTCGAGAAAGAAAAAAGACAATGGAGAAAAAGGGATAATTTTCTCTTTTTAAGCTCTTTATCGATTGGTAAAATCAAAAAATATGCGTACTGCATGTGCGCGCGCGTGTAAAAGTAAAATGTAGGGTAACGAGCAGTGTATCGAGTGCAAAACACGAAAAGAAAGCCCCCAAAAGAGCTCTGGCGCGCTCCGCGGGGAGTCGTGGCCGCTTCGACGGCATCAATGGCTCGTCGACATTAGATAGTGTTTATTACATATATCTATAGCCGACGTTGGGATAAATAAATAACGAGCTGGCAGTGCGCGCCTTATTATTCCGCTGTAAACACGTGCCTTTTAGAATACCTTAACAAATGGCTCTATATAGATAAGATCATCCTGATCTGGTTTTATTTGAGGTAGCAATTTAGCTACCCGCGTATACATGCGCTCGCGCGCGGGCGTACATTAATCTCGCCGCCGGCGCATTACTTGCTCGAGGTATAACTCGCTGCTCCGAAAATTCGTTAGTGCACATGTATGTACGTGTCTGTGTACTTTTTCCCTCAATTGCACTATCGCACGCACAGCAGCTCGTGTGCTGTTAATGCTGCTGCTGCTGCTGCTGCTGCTGCTGCTGCAGGGTGAACAATAGCAATGCCATTACACCGACTCTCGGGGTACAGTGGCTTATTCGCGGCGAGGCGATATTAATAAAAGCTGGCGCACGGCTGCAGAGAAGTCTGCAGCGGGCTAGGCTAAGGCAGAAAGAGAGCTGCAACATTGAAATTCATCTCTCGCAATCCACGGATATGCGCGCGCGCTCGGCGAAGATGGCTTTTCTCGTCGTATACCCCGCAGCCGACCTGCGGGTTTATATTAACCCTCGCCACAGCTCGCGTCCTGCCCATATCTCTTTCTCTTTCTCTCTTATTCCTTTCAAATGCCGACGCGTATCTCATCCCTCATTCATCCCGTGATATTCTCGTCGTCGTCGTCTCTCTCTCTCTCTCCTTTCTCCTTTTATCCGCATCCATATCTCGCGTCGGACGTAACGAGAACTCCAATTCTCGTTCTCTGCGCCTGGTTGTAAGCTGTGCTCGTCGTTTTTCAAACCCACTTTAATACATTGCGAACCACACACTCTCACACACACACACACACACACATGCACGCGTGGTTATATCATGCCTACACTCGACATCGATTAATAAGCGCGCCTGTAATCGCAATAAGCGCAAAATGTCTCAATAGAAAACGAATATACGTACAAATCGCGGGCGATTATAACGACATCCTCATTATTTGATATAATTATACATAAAGCTAATAGCCAGGTAATTTAAATAAAATGCGAATCTCGATGAACGGCGCTATCGGCATTCGAATATCAAAACACGGCGCAGGTAAAAGGAGCGTATAAAATGAGAGAGAGAGAGAAAAATAATTACAAAATCGTGTGGTATACAATAAATTTCTCAGTTCGTTTATATGCGCGTGCGATGCATCGCTGAGCGATGTTGCAGTCCGAGCCATCATCAAGTTGTTGCCGGCTGCGTTATAGCTGTGCTTATATAAACAATGTTTATAATGCACCCATAAGCAAAAGTACATTAGCGTGTTATTTTAACCGATAAAATCGTAGTAATAGGATAGAAAAATGGAGAGAGAGAGAAAAATAAATAAGGAAAAATTGCGCAGGATATATTAGAGACGCCTGAGCCATACACAATGTATATATTGTTTGATAATTACAGAACAATGCAGCGAAGTCGCAGCCGCCTCGTCGGCCTACTATGGGAAGCTCATTGGCAAGCTTTCGGAGCTCGAGCACGGGGTTAGCGGCGAAGTCTACGCCGTCGACGCGAGGACGCTATTCATCAAGGACTTCACCTACGACGGCGAAGGACCAGGTAACGTCTGACTAAAGTATATAATATTTGGCATCGTGAGCGCGCGGTATACGAAAATATAAACGCACCTGTAAGTGTACGTTTAACTGCAGCGCAACTTTCTCTCGCGAAATTCCTCGCGGATCTGCGTGCAGCTGATCCATCCGCGTACGTACTCGCTCTCGTCGATAAGAGGAATTGCGCGCGCGGGCTAACGCTCGCAGTTTACGTCGCATCGAGAGCGTGCGCATATAATATATGAGATATACGTATACGTACTGAAAACGCGAGCGCAGCAGCAGCAGCAGCACCAAACCGAACCAACGCCCCTGACCTTGATCCAATATACGTACAACGTAAACTACTTGGACTAGCTATGGCTTAGAAGAGAAACTCCTCGCATGCATACATATATATCGGCGCGGCGGCAGCCGGCGATGCATTGCCGTCGCCACGCGCGCGCTCGCACAGGAATTTCCTCCCATTAAAAATCGCATCGCGCCGATTTATGCACGTATACGTATTAGTGAAACCCTTTTTTTCGCGGCTCGATACCGAGACACTGCCGCTAAATATATATGGAGTACGTAAATAGCCAACGCCTCGCGCGCGTGTGAATGGGTGTGCATGTCTCGAGAGAAAAAAATTATATTATATAGCGAGCTCTGTACACAACTTTCATCGCGACTGTGTTTATGTATATCTATACACTTACAAGACACTTTGGTCTTCTAACTGTAAAGCAAAAACTGCAAAGGCGACTCTGCTGCTGCTGCTGCTGCTGCTGCTACTGCCACTGACTGCACCGATTGGCTCGCTAAACTTTCGCCGCGCTTTTAATTCGCCGTGTGTGTATCGTAAAAAGTGCGCGTGCACGTATAAACTGCTATATATATAGCATATATCGTACACGTGTTCGCCAACGAGACACATAACTAGCTTGTAAATGCATCTTACCGATAAAAAAAAACAGCGTCGACGTGCTTAGCGTGACCGTAGACTTTTCGTTTATTTCTCGCGCACGATAGTTTATAGCAATGCTTAAATTTTTGAAAGTTTTTGTTTTTGTTTTTTTTTTTTTTTTTTTTTAGTTTTGTTTTTTTCACTCAGTTTTTATTCACGCGCGCCGATTGTGCGAGAAGATGACGCATACGCGTGTATAACTTGTTTACGATTTTGGACGAGTAACTTTCGTTTTTGCCGAAAGAAATAAAAGCGAGATCACATATATGATATTGAGCGCCAAAATATATCACCTTCCGAGAATTTTATAATTGTTTTTAAACATCAGAACGAAAGTTCTCATGAAAGTTACTTTTGATCATTTTCAGCCGCATGGTTCTATGCTGGACATTCAAAATCCGTCGGAACCAATGGTTTCAAAGTACGAGACGAACGTGGAACGTAAGTAAATTATCCGATAAAAAGTTTTTTTAAACCTGGTAGAAATGGTAAACATTAATAATGTCATTACAACCAAAACATTATCATATGAATTGTTTTAAAATACATGACCATTAATTAACTTTTTTGACAATTTTTTGATACAAATAAGTGGCAAACTTAAAACAATTATAAAAGACAAAGCACGAATTTTAAAAAGATTATGGTAAAGATTGAATAATCATGATTGACTTTATACATTTCAAAAGTAGAGAATTAAAAACAACTAAAAAGAAGGTCTCTCATTTATGTAAGCCGTAACACCTACTTTATTTTACCTCCAGGCAAATCAGTTAGGTGACCACTAGCGACTGTGAAAATGACCTATTAAAAGTGTGTTAAAATGATGATTTGCTTGAATTTATTTAGTAAAAAAATGATCGTTAACAATTAAACTTTATCGTGTCCACTTCGTATTGTCCTTTTAAGCCCAAGAACTCTTAATTCTTTCTTGACTCAAGATCTTACACTATTTTTTAACATATAGAAAGAGAGCTTTTCCGACTAATTTAAGTTAACAAAACAAATTAATAAAAAGATAAGAAATAAAAGATGGTTGAAAAAAACATTTTAATTTCATGAGTATATCGCTATACGCTACAGGTTCGACCTTTTGAGAAGATACAGAAAGAAAGACATAACGTTGATGTTACCCGAGGGAAAGACCTTGGCCAACATCAAATGGTTCTCCGTTTATTGCGATGATTACGCTGTGAGTATGAGATTATCATTACAAGTACAAGCCATTTACCAGTTTTACATATTCCGCTTCGTTTTGACGTTACACGTCTCGCTCGTTACATTTTTATACATACGCGAACATTTACGTGCACGAAAAAAAAAAATAAAAAGTAAAATGATCGATGAAAAGTGTACAGAGAAAAGCTCAACACTCGATAAAATCTAAACGCTTCTAAGTATGCGCGCGCGAATGGAAGTATAAGAGAAGAGGGGGAGACGGTTAAGCGAAGTAAAAGAAGTCGAGTCACAGCGAGACGATAAGCGTGCAAGTTTCGTAGCGCTTTTATTTTTTCATCTCGAAAAGCATCTCGGGCTAAACATAATAGGTGTATATAACAGTGTGCAGTTTGCAAGCTGGCTCTTATATATGCCGTAACGGGTACATATACAAACTCGACGCGTATAACGAAGTGGACGTTAAAGACTCGACTCATATTGTCGCTGCGGAAAAAAAACTTTTTAATTTCCCGAGGCTAGTGTGCTCGTGTGCCTTTGCTAAGTGCACGTACACGTTATGTATATGTCATATGCATCCTCTTGTGACTTATATAATACATATACGACTTTGAAGTATTAACGCGCTATTAAGGAAGTTGCATTTTTTCGAAAAACTGCCTCGGCCCACGCGCGTTCGCGTAGCTGAAAATGCGCGCTAAACCAAATGAAAATATATTGCGCCTGTAAATTGAAATAAATTATACGAAAACGTCAAGCACGCGAGCCGGAGATGAAAAGACTCGGCGCGTACGCTGTATAATCATTGCTTTATCCCGCTGCGTTACAGGTGAACTTTGGCGACGTGAAGATCCCCCGCAACTTCGATTATCCAAGGCCGCAAAAACTTGGCCAGCTGAGCGGCATACACGGGGTTAGCTCCGAGCCTGTGGTTATCGTTGATGCACAAACACTCCTTATCCCAAGCTTTACTTACGATGGCGAGGCACCTGGTGAGTCTCTTTTTTTTTCACTTTATACAATAGTGGCACATTTTTAATATACTCCTCACACTGTATTTTACTTTTGGCTTTTTTGTTACAACGTGATAAATGTCAAGCGATAATTCGATTAATAACATCGTGCATCCGACTATTTTCCAAACAGACGCCAAGTTCTGGGTCGGTGCTGGTTTATCGCCGACGCCCCAAGGGATCAAGTTGCCCAACGAGAACGGCGAGGTAGGGCCGCTACGCCGCTACGACCACAAAACCATCGTCCTGTCGCTGCCCGATGATCTGACCGTGCATCAGATCGGACACTTTGGCGTTTGGTGCGAGGCCTTCGCCGTCGATTTCGGCCACGTCAAGATTCCGCACAGTCTCAATGTGCCGCCCTCGCTCAAGATGCTCGGCGTCTCGCCTCAGGTGAGTTTGCCACAACAGGCATATAGAAATAGATTATAATCATCACATCTTGCTTTTGCGATACATCGGCTTTATTCTTTTACTTCTCATAACTCGTGCAATTTTAGCAACTTCGATGCGACACGCTGAATCAATCGAATTTTCATAAAATGACGCGAAAAAATAATCAATGAATATTTATTCGTTGACTATCTCCGCAATTTTCTCGCTCTCTTGAATTTTCGAAAAGCTCGTTGCATTCAAAAGTACTCGGATTCGCGTCAATTTACGTAAATGAAAATACCAATTAATTTTGGGTATACTTGTTATCTCTGCGACTCGTTCGCTCTCTCATTACTGTTGACACGAGTCGCATTGACACAGGTTACGAATGTTTGACAGTTAAAAATTACACAGCGGCAAATACGGTAGCTTAGCGCGCCTATATGTTGATCCTCGTGTCTGTATAACGTAAATAGACATTATTACTGCGCCGGCGAATCGCAGCTAATCAAAGCGAGAGAATATCGCGTAGAGCGCAGCGATCGACGGGTGCGCAACATCGCAAGCCCATCATTGTGTCGAAAGCAATATTAGTTTTAATAATTAATTAACGCGCGAAATACACGCGTAGGGTACAGCACTAGCTCGCTCGCGCAAATATTTGGTAAATACCCATCTGATTCCTTGGGAAATTATGACGTTTGATGAAAATGTCACAGGCAGGTACTACAAGCTCGTATACGCACACTGTACTCGTTTCACATACGGCTGAATAAACACGTACACAGAGGTATTTATTATATACAGCTAGAGCGGATAGCAGCTCTCAAAGTGCAGAAACCCAGAAAATGGCTAATCAACACTGGATACAAACACAGCTGCGGCATGGCGCCTTTTCCCTTTGTGCGATGGATGCACTCGGCAGTCGCAGCCGAAGGCATTTCTCATCCCGGTCTCCCTTTTCTTATTATTTAGCGGATGGCGCGTCGGTATCAAAGATAATGCTTTGTGCATATATAAGCAGGTGGAAGGATCCTATCGGGCGAACAAGAGAGAAATTGAACTAGTTGCTATTACATCTTCAATCGGAATTATTTGTGTTTTTTTTTCTCCTCACGGCAAAGAAAGCATCGCTGTGCTTGTACAAAAATAACAACAAGATTTTCCTTGGACTTTACAAGAAGACAAATATTTACCAGTACAGCGTCCAGAAATTTCTGCATTTAACATCTTTTTTTACACGCTTCAAATGCTACGACAACTCAGAAAAAAACGTTAACGCGCACCCGTTGAGTGCATACGTCTAATAATTCAGATTCGCCGCGTATGCATACGAGAAATTCTGTTGACTGTCGCTTATACTGTGCATAGCTTTGCGAATGGAGGGAATGCTATTCGCAGAGCTATGTCAAGCTCTCATTTCGATTTGGACCTTGTAATTTTTTTTCCTTCGCTTGCCCACACTGGAAAGTTGAAATAAATTTCGTTTTTCGTATTCATGCTCGAGATTTTTTTCTTCGCAATGCTCCAAGACATAAATTTTGTGTAAGCAAGACTACACGCGTATACATAGTTTCGATTTCTCTTTTTTCTCTCTCTCTCTCTCTCTCCCTCCCTCTTTCTATGAGTTGCATGTGTGTGTATGTGTGTATGTACGTTCATTGATTCGATTTTTCGTTCTACATTAAATTTATGTTCTTAATCATGTGAGCGGTGTACCCAGTGGTTGCAGCTGAAACTTTTTTCAATCTAAATGGTTATTATGGGCACTAGAGTTTTTGCTTTTCTTGACTTTTGTCAGCAACTTTCCAGCGAACAATGGAATTTGTCAATTGTAATAATTGTTCTGCTTGCGCTTAATTGTTTTTAATTTAGCTCGACGATTGTGCGTAAAAGTTGCTCGCGCTCGAGTTTTACTTGCACTACATACCGCACGCTGATCACCGCCGACTTTTCGCGTCGCGCAATGTCCGCGCGGCAAATGAAAACAAAATTAGATGTTCACCCTTCATTGGGCTCTCGACTTTCACGCCCATAGATATAATATGCTCGTGAGAAAATCTGACCTAATATCGTACAAATAAGAGCGTACGATTTACGCGTCCACTCTCCCGGCTTAATTACCCGCAAAGTATTTGTGCTACAAAAAGTGAAGAGTTTACACGACTCGCTCGAAAAACATTTTTCCCATGAAAATCTGGACGCAACGATACCGCTACGTAGGATAACAATGCAACTTCCTCGCAGATCTACGTTGAACGGTACAATATATTCATAAACGCGTGGAAAATGTCTGGATAAAGTGACAAAACATATCGTCGCTCATTCGACTCGTTGACTAAAAAAAGATCCCTGCATCGTGGAAGTGCCAATCGATGTAAGTCAATATTTGATTAGGCGCAGTGATTTTTACGCGATCGATTAATCCATATCTATGAATAACAAGCTACATACTACTGACTGAGCTGCTGTTCTCACGCGAATCATTCACACCATCTACTAATGCTCGCCATATATATTACACATAAATTCGCCACCGCCAAATGAAAATAAGCACGCAAACTAACAAAGCTCTGTCTCTGTCCTTGTGTTGCAGACCGTTGCGCGCGGAGGGCAGGGACAGGACTTGTCGACTCAATCCCAACAACAACAACAACAACAACAACAACAGCAACAACAACTACTATTGCAACAGCAGCAACAATATCAACAGTACCAACGGCCGACCACTTACCGTCCCCAGTTGCAGCGTCGCCAGTCAGTGCAAATCGTGCCGGCGCTCGATTATACCGCTCAGCATCATCAGCTGCGCGCCAACGTTCAAGACGACGGCGATTACCAGGGAGATTATCAGCGACGATCCGGTGCAGCAGCAGCGGCGGCGGCGGCGGCGGCGGCGAGCCCCGCGACGACTATTTCTCGACAAGCTCGGGCGAGATTCCGCTTTCAGCAGCAGCAGCCAGCCAACGCGGCCAGACCTCAACAACAAACAGCTTATCGTCTTCAGTATTAGCACTGACTCGGATCGCTCGCTCGCTCGCGCGCTCTTAGTTTAGCCTTAGCCTATCGTATATGTATAGAATAGGGCAACGTTAGATCCACAGGGAATCCCATCCTTAGTTATATATAGCCACGTAATAGGACGAGACAGACCAACGTCTCCTTTTGTAGTATTATCGTCATTATTACCGTACTGGATAAATTATGTATACATATATACCGGAGATTTTCGAGGATACACTTTAATCTCAACATTAATATTTACATTTTTTTCTTAAACATGCGCCGAAACGACAATAGACGTGCAGCATACTTCGCAGGTAGCCCGGTTCGCCTTTTCTCGACCCGAATAAGTGGCGAAAGCATTTACCTTAAAATTTCAACTTCACCGCTGTGTACGCGGATAAATCGCGTATACGCGCGCGAAAAACCATACAAATATATCTGTATAGGTGGCAGCTGGCGCACCAGCTTGTTTGGCATTCAAGGCAATTCTTCTTATACAGGCTGGTGGTGCGGGAGGGGGCCAATCCGTACAGCAAGCCGAGCAATCTATTTTCCGGGGGAGAATTTCGCGGCAGCTGATCCAATCGGTCCTTGGTGCGCGCGCTCTCGAGAGCACATCCAATTTTCTAAAACTCTGCCCGTTCTCGCTGCTGCTGCTGCAACCACTGCTCAGCTCTTTCTTCTGCATCAACTGTACGCCCGAGCAAAAAAGTGTCGCTACACTTTAACTTTTTTCGTCGTACGAAAAGTCGGCCGTAGAAAGCAAGAGGAAGAAAAAAGAATCGAGTATTTACACACCCTCACACACGTGTTAGCGCGCGCGAAAAGTTTCGCTCCTCTCTGCGGTACTCATTTTCTTTTTGTTTCCCTTTTTCTTTTGCCAATACTCCGACACCGCATTTGTGGCCCTTCAGTTCTTTTTTTTCTCACGGATTAAATTTTTTATTGATGAAAAATTTCAGACAGCGATCATCTCGATCTCCAGCTTTATAATCCTATTTCGCGCGGCGGTGCGTGCGTACCTGTAAAAAAACATGTATGTCGTAAAAAATCCTCACTTTCTTCTTGGCGTGTGTGCACTGTACAGTGTGTGCTTAGCTTCGCAGCGACGCGTTAACGCGATGAGCCACTCACACAGAAAGTCGTTCGCGCAACGTGAAAAAAACACCGCTACGTGCTATTTTTCAAATCTTTATTTAAATGCTACTTTGGTGCGCGCGCGCAAGCTCCAATTATAAAATTCTTTGAAAATCTTGCCTTGTTTATCCACGCACAAACACGAATCGTGCGCACTTTCTCGGACTTTTTGTAACTCTGAAAAAGCTCCCGCGTAACTCACGAATTTTTTGTAAAGTTGCTTTACGCAAGTAACGAAGGGCGATGCATTTTTTCCAAAATTTCTCGCAATCAATCAAATTTTTCATTCGCTTCATTGTCCGTGGTAAAAATTCTTGTCCAGCTCGCTGCAGCTTCGAACCTTATAATTAATCAAAAAAGCAGAGCTTGGAAGCGCAGCAAATCCTTACGCGTGACAAAACCACAGGATTATACATCGCGTTTCATGCTTGTTGGAATAATTTTTTATTCTCTTCGCAGCCATGAAACATGCATCTCGTGCAGCAAACTTTTTAGTGGGGTGTATGTGTGTTGCGTTTGCGCGCGTTAGCGCCTGACAAAAAGCTGTATACATCAGAAACCGCAGAATTCAGCTCTGATTATTAATAGGACTTTCTGCGGGGGAGTGGAGGACAAAAACGAGCAAGTGTCGGTGGAGTTTCTCATAGCTCACCGCGCATGCACACTCACACGCACACAAACTCACACACGCATGTACATACAAATACGTGCACTACGTGTCTTCCTAGGTAGAACGACTTGCAAGTATACACGTTTCTCGTCGTTTCATCGGCCGTACTTTTTCGAGACAGCTTTTGTTTTTCGTTAATTTCGGAATATAACGCGAATCGTGAACCAGCTGTGCTGCACGTCGTGGTATATTTAACATAACAACATACACGTTTTGCCCCATTACACAGTATTATACATCAGTATTATTTATAAAGTCCATTAATACTCAAAAATGCGCTTTGCAGCAGCATGGAAAGTAATAATGAATATATAAATAACGAGAAAAGCCATAGCTCGTACTTATGCAGCTGCTGCAGTGTGTTTTATGAACATGTCCAAGTGTGCGTCTGTATGAGGCCAAGTGGGAGCGAGAGGGGGCAAAGTTGATTATTTGGAAAAAGCTCCGAAAGTACGACGTAATAATAATGGTGGAACGTGGCCTGCTGCAGCTCGCTCGCTCGCTCGCTCGGCCAGTGTGCACCAATGACCGATACATACGTACGTATAACTACGCGGGTAGGATAGCTCGGGCTAAAAGCTTTTCGTACACATTGGCGCGCGCTGCCGTGTATACGCGTGGTGGCCGCCGCGCCGCGTGCACGAGGACAACTAATACACGGGGGCGCGCCAACCGAGCGAGAGATACATTATAGATGCCTAGTAGCTGGTATTGGAGCGTCGATAGGTGACTCGTTCGAGGGATTAATTATCGATCCTAGGCCAAGCTCGCTCTCGCATGGGCTCACCCTCGTATAGTGATAAGAGAAATCGATTATTGGATTAACGTTGAGAGAGAGAGAGATAGAGAGAGAGACGCGTCATACATATACATTATACACTGCGCGCGACGAACAAAACAATATATACCTTGTACAACTTATGTAGTTCGTATATTTATGTATACGTTTGTGATTGTGACCTTGCAAAAAGGTACGAAAGGCCAGTGCTGAAATAACAAAGCTCTTTATGGAACATAAATATAGAAAAAGAAAAAACTAACAATATAATAAATAACCCCACCGTTCATTTTGTTGCTCATAATATTGTTTTCTCATATAATAGTAGTGAGATTGATTAAGTAGCCATAATAGATAATACATCGACGCGCCGTTGGAGCGTCTCGCGCTCGAGCTCCGCAATATTCCAGGGGCCGCGTCGTGTCTTCCCCAAAGTAGATAGACGCAATATATACATGAAAGATATTTTTGTACATTATCATTGTACACATGTTATACGATCATTATATACACATTGAATGATGGAAATCTTGTATACGAAATATCGTCGTCATATGAAGAAAAAAAAAGTAATAAATAATAACTCGAGAGACAAAATCCAAACAAACGACTTTATCGCTTACCTTTTCTCTATACCTCCCTCGACCAAAACTTCATTAAACAAGAAGCGCAGCAAAAGCTCGAGGTACATATCCTCCGGCAGCTTCTGCACTGCATACAACGTGCAACATGCACATACGTGTTTATACACGTATATAGACGCGTATACGCGCTCGCAGATATATCAACTGCTACAGCATGTGCTCTGGAACAACAAGCTCCATTTCACCCAGCTGGATGTAACCTCTTCTCGTCGGCTGTCGGCATCGTACACGTATACGTGTTCGCATGAAAATCGAAGCCCCTGTTTATATATCGTATAGGTAGCGTAAAGTGCACATAGCACCTTGGTTCCCCGCGTAAAAAAAATTTCATTGGGAAAGCTTTGTCAAAGTTTGGATGTGGCCGAGGTTTGCCAAAGTTCCGAAATGAGAATCGCAGGATACATTTCGACCCACACGAGAAAGTGCGGAAAACTTGGCCAAAAATGGGAGTCACGTGTGGAAAACTTTGCCAAACATTGGAGTCTGTTGTGGAAAACTTGTCCAAACGTTGGAGTCAGATGTGGAAAACTTTGCCGAAAATTGGTGTCAAATTTTTCTACTTTTTGTACTGGCGTGGTGGGCAAAATTTTAGAAGTGTATGCTGCAATTCTCAATTTCGCTTATCGATAAATTCGAGGATTTTTACGAAAAGCAATTTTTTACGTAGCAAGGATTTTTACGATCGAGCAAAGTATTTCCGCGATGCATCAAACTCGCAAGCAAACTACCACCTTATTAGATTCACGCGGAATATTTGTTACAGTCACACATACGCATAGGGTAAATAATTTCGCGCGCGCGCCTCCAACTTAGCAATTTTTTACACTTGCACATTGCACTTTTTTACGCGAGCGAGCAGAATCTTGACGAACTGTGGTAATTTTATAAAATCACGCGACGACTTGCTCCATCGAATCTCTTACATTTAATAACATACATTCCTCATAAATTTATTAGGAGGAAATTTATTATGTTTTATTTATTAACCACGCTCTCTTCTGCTGCTAAAAAATACGGAGGTTAAACTAACTGTTTGACAGACTCATCGATCGCTTGGCCTAGCAACGATTAATTGCTAGGCATCTAGTTCTTTTGTTTATGTAAATCGATCGTTGCTGAGCCAAGCGATCGATGAGTCTGTCAAACAGTTAGTTTAACCTCCGTATTTTTTAGCAGCAGAAGAGAGCGTGGTTAATAAATAAAACATAATAAATTTCCTCCTAATAAATTTATGAGGAATGTATGTTATTAAATGTAAGAGATTCGATGGAGCAAGTCGTCGCGTGATTTTATAAAATTACCACAGTTCGTCAAGATTCTGCTCGCTCGCGTAAAAAAGTGCAATGTGCAAGTGTAAAAAATTGCTAAGTTGGAGGCGCGCGCGCGAAATTATTTACCCTATGCGTATGTGTGACTGTAACAAATATTCCGCGTGAATCTAATAAGGTGGTAGTTTGCTTGCGAGTTTGATGCATCGCGGAAATACTTTGCTCGATCGTAAAAATCCTTGCTACGTAAAAAATTGCTTTTCGTAAAAATCCTCGAATTTATCGATAAGCGAAATTGAGAATTGCAGCATACACTTCTAAAATTTTGCCCACCACGCCAGTACAAAAAGTAGAAAAATTTGACACCAATTTTCGGCAAAGTTTTCCACATCTGACTCCAACGTTTGGACAAGTTTTCCACAACAGACTCCAATGTTTGGCAAAGTTTTCCACACGTGACTCCCATTTTTGGCCAAGTTTTCCGCACTTTCTCGTGTGGGTCGAAATGTATCCTGTGATTCTCATTTCGGAACTTTGGCAAACCTCGGCCACATCCAAACTTTGACAAAGCTTTCCCAATGAAATTTTTTTTACGCGGGTTCATATGGATGGGGGATGCATAACGGAGCGTACATAATACGCGCCGGGGCCGCAACTACAATTACGAACCCTCCGAGACATTTATATAAGTTTGGCCTGCGAGAGATCTAATTGGCCAAGTTTCGTCTTCGCTGGCCCTATATACTACGGCGCCTTGAGCGCACATCCATAATGCAACCAACTTTTTTTCTCTCACTGCCATGTGTTTATATACCATACACGTGCGTCATACTCAAAGATGTGTCCTTCGTTGCTCTTGTTCCAGTCGAAGCTCAACTGCGAGGTACTCGACGATAGGCTGTCGTTCGAGGTACGCTGGGCCGTGGCCGGGGACAGCATCGTCGTGCAGCTGGTCGGCAAACTTGGTGAGTCTTTATGTGAACAATAATAAACGACGCGATATCTTTATGTATATATAAGCACGACAGCGTCACGTTGTTCGCGCGCGCTCAAGCATTACGATTTTCGAACTTTGCCAAGATATTGAATCATCCATAAGCTCGCGCTCGAATTTCATCCTCGCACGCATAGACATACACACACGTATAGGCAACTGAAATAATAGTTGTTTTCCAACTTATCAGATGACCTATTTTCGCCGGTCCGATCTATATATATTGCGTGATATATCTATTAAAGCCTCTGCTATATGCACTTGGGGTTATTAAGAATTACCCAAGCGTTGCTCGATCCGTTACGAGCGATAACGCAGCAGCAGCCGCATCGGCCAAAGCTCGCGCTTAGGAATTTACGTTGTTATTACAGGGTAATTTATAACATATAATGTATCGAGAAAAACGCACGTATTTATTGAGAAAAACCAGCGCGATAATCGCTGCGCACAGCAGTTGCATTCGAGTTGCGCCGCCCCTCGCACAACGAGCAGCAGCAGCGGGCCCGCGCTCGCGAAACAAGACGTGCTGCGCCGAGCTTTAATTGTCGAGAGCAAAGAAAAGAAAGAAGCATCCATGCGTCCCGCTAACTCTATGATAATGCCAATGATAATGGCTTTCTTATTATTTTCACGTGTACCATTGGCTCGAAGCCCCGTGATGTATACACAACGAGGCAAACATACACACACACATACTCGAATTGAGAAAGATACTTTCTCCGAGTGCAGCATGCACGCGACTCGCTCTGCGTATAAATAATGATGAATCATTTATAAATAGATTTCACTTGTTTATAAACATTTTCGTTGGTACATTATTATGCGCGCAGCCTCGAGGCCATGTATATCGGTAAATGTATATAGAGTAAAATGCCACAGCCCAAGAAGTGAAAAGAATATATACATCGAGAATGGACCGTCGAGGAGATCGATGTTGCCGCTCTGCTATACTTTATATACTTTCGTTTGATAATTAAACGAGATATATCTGCGCACGATAGCGTCTAACGAACACACACACACACATCGGACACGCTCGATCGAATTAAAAAATTTCTCGAGAATATCAAACATTATCGTATCAGCTAGAGATTCTCGCGACCGTATTTACGATATTAGAGAAAAAAAACTGCATCGGAGCACGATAAATAGTTTCACGCAATTTTTCGACTCGGGCCCAATAAATAGCGTCGGATCTGCCAGAGCCGTTGTATTGTATCCATGAAAAGCTCGCGTTTTTGTAGAGCAACCCCGTGCGCACGAGTCTCTATATGTAACGCGTACATTGGAAAACATGAAAAAGTAAAAAAGCAAAAAGAGACGAGGGCGAAAAAAATTGGACCTCGAGACGCGCGAGCGACCTTCGAAGCTGGCAAACGTACGTACGTACACATGCACCGCTGGGGAATTGATGCGAGTATATCGTGCCCGCGCACACGTGCTGTATACAGAAGCATAGACACACTCACACAATGGCAGTGCAGAGAGCAACAGAATTGGCGAGCAGTACTATATCGTATACATATAGCACTCGTTGCCTCGCGAGGCACAAACTTGCGGCTGCTGCCTCTGTATATAATACACATCGCTTGCTACGTACGTACCCAGAGCTGTATATGCTGCACGCAGGAACCTTTTATATACGCGTATATACAGTTGCATGATATATATATATACAGCTGCATGACTTTCGCCGCATATCGATTTCTGCACGCCGCGTCATCGTTTCGTTCCGTTACGTAAGCCGATTCGCGCTCCTCTTCTGCACAGCTCCAGTCATGAGTTGCTGCTGCTACTATACTACACCCGAACTTTATAATGCATATATCTGTATTCCGTATGCATCCAGAGCAGAATTCGCGGCGGTGGTGTGGCGGCGCGCGCGCACCCGCTTGTTCCTTAATTCCTGCTATGCTTTATGCATCTATATAGCCCGAGCTATGCACGCGTGTATAATGCATCCTTCCGACTACGTCGACGCGATCTATATCGCTGTATATACCGAGTCGTCGTTTTTCAGGCTGCCAGCGTCGCGCCGGAGCTGCACAGCTCTTGCCTTTGCAGTCCTTAGAAACTTCGCGCCACGATATTGACATTCGCGATGGAATTTTCGTTGTATTTTCGCCTTATCTTTTCTCTTTCTTCTCCGATGGTCCATTATAGCTCGAGAACTTTTTTTAACCGAACGCGACTGCATCGCGAAAATATCGATGCCCGACAAAAATTAGCATCCGTACGTCGCGCCCCGATATCCTTTGATTTGGAAACTCGACTATATCCATCGCGAGAAATTACGTCGGTCGAAATTTTAATCGGATTACTCGATAATCTCGATAGCTAAAGCTTTTATCCGGCGCGCAGCCATTTCTCGCTTCGAGCTTACATCTATTTAGAGAACGCCAGTAACTGCCGTACATATTAATCATAATGCATCTGTCAGGGCTCTCTCGCGCGTCATTTTTGTTCCTTTTTAGTCTTCATTTGGAGGGAAAAACTTCCTTATAAATCATCCTCGGCGAAACGTGTTTTATGCGAAAAATCATTATTTACGATTCTTGACTTTGAAAAAAAAAAATGAAAACTAAGCGTTCGCATACGCAAGCCATTAATAGTCATCAGAAGGTTGCAACAGTTTTGCTGCGAATAATCTACGAAACATCCGACGCTAGACTCGATGCTTTTTAATTTTAAGAATTTTCAAATAATCGAAATGGCTATTCGCGTGCGAATCTACGTTTATCCAACGATTATGATTTTTCAAATCAAGCGCAAGAAGTATTCGTGAGAAATTGGGTTGCGAATAAAAAAGGCGATTTGCATTGTACGAATGGAAACTCCGCGCGTCTGAAATCTCGCTTATAACAATGCTCGAAAGGCAATCGCAATTACCATCGCGGCGGCAGACATTCGCGCGCAAAGTTGGCGATATACGCGGAGCCACTTATACCCGAGAGCTTCTCGCAGTTAATCGGTATAGACACGTACGCGCGAGAGACGTCGGGAGAGGTGCAGTTGCGAAATGCGTGCGAGTGTGTGTTTGTGCGCGCATATTCAGTGTAACGATGAAGAGAAAGGCGTAGCACAGCCTCTTGCGCCTTTATACATGTACACATATTATATCGAACGTGTCCAGAGCGCAGACTGGCACGTGCAAAAGTGCGCCTATACGCGTGCACGCGATAATGTAAACGTCCGGTTTTCGTACACACACGATGTATAAACACACACCGAGGCGCACGTGCGTTGCTTCGAGGAAGAAAGAGAGGAAGAAAAAGATGTATAGGCCACGGACGCGCGTATGCCTCGCGACACTTTCACCTTTGCAGATTCGATCCTCGCCGCGCTTATTCATGCGCGTGCACGCAGCTAATTTTTCTCTCTCGAGCTCCATTTCGAATGGATTGAAAATAAGGAGAAAATTCATCCGATCGACGTACACGCGTATCGTCATTGACTCTAATGGTTTATACGTACAGGCGATACGCGTTTATGTACGTGGACGATTTCCTCTCGAATGCCGATAATCGCGCGTCACGAGAAAACTGGGTTATCTCGCCTACGATAGGTATAATACACGAATGAATCGAGATGAAAAACTTAAAGTTGAAAACTGATTATGCTCTCAGCCGACAACGAGTACATGTCCTTCGGCTTGTCCGGCGATCAGCAGCGCAGCGTCATGGTCGGCGGCGACATCGTCGTCGCTTGGGTCGACAAGCGCACCATTCAGGGCTACGCGATCGACTACTATCTCGACGCCAAGTCTCAATGCTCCGGAGGTCGTGGCAGCTGTCCCGATGTTAAAATCCAGGTGAGTCGCTCCGACATCTTTATATAAACTTTCGAACCCTTTCGAACAATGCGCGCATATGTACATCATATAATCATTGAAATTGTTTCGTTTATTTTTTTTTTCTCCCTTTTTTGGAAATCGAGATGAAAGTTGCAATTTGTTGAAACGAAATTTCATTCGTTTGCGTTTATATCAGCCTTTGTAATCATTAAGCAAATAATTGGGATGTTACTTTTGGCTCGCTCGCGGTGGGAATCGAAATGAGCTTGTAATGCGATATTACACATTTATTCTTGACCGCGATAATTGAAATGGAATATTTCGCTGAATTTACGGAATTTACCTCTCTCTCTCCCTTTGCTGCATACATAAACTTACGCAAGCGAAAAATCGTTTGAGGAATTTCATTTCAAACGTTACATTTATAAATGCATTTTCTCTCTTTCCGTCGACGAAAAAAGGAAAATACCAATTCTGTGCGTATGCTCAACGCCGCCATAGTCAACGGCTTCAGCATAGTCACGTACCAACGACCGCTCAAGGCCAGCGACGAGCTAGATCGACAGATTTTCACCAACGGATCGCAGGCCGTCATTTGGGCTATCGGACCGCTCAACGACAAGCAGGAGGTGAGCTTCCACAGCAACTACCTCAAGGGCAATCAGTTCATCGATTTTGGCCGTCCACCGTCCTGGAATTGTCCTCTGCCGGAGCTTCAAGAGCAGCAAAGCAATAACAACGCCAAGCCCAAGAGTTCGGATCTCCAACAGCGCGAGCGAGTCGCCGAGCAGCCGAGTAATAATCATCAGGCCAGGCATCAGGATGAAGTTGCACAGGAGCAGCCGCAACAGCAGCAAGCTCAACCTCCCAGACAGCAAGCCAGAAGGAGGCAGCATCAACGCTTGAGAGACCAAAAGAGCACAGAAGAGGTTTGTTATAAATTCACTTGGTTCAAATATTTTTGCTCTCTCTCTCTCTTCGAATAAACTCTATGATAGGTCCAAATTTCTTTTTTTTTTGTAACAAAAATAAGAAAATTCATTGACGGATTCAACGTGCGATGTAATTTTGTTACGAGGGTATTTCTGACTCGAGTAGTGTACTGTTTGTGTACTGACGTTTTGTAGAATGCTTTTTGTCACTTTACTAACTATTATACTTATTATGATTTACTAGCTATTATTTGTCTTGTTACGATTGTCACTCCTTCAAATTTAACATGGGTTTAGAATGAACTTGATGAAATTCGAATACTCAAAAATATGGATTCTCAAAAATACAAATACCTGACTCGATCGAGTTACTTTGAGTATTTGGATGCTAGCTGGACGTGTCACATAGGATGTTTGCTACGACTTTCTTGTTTAGTCATTTAAGAGACTCTAGGAAAAAGCTCTTTTCCAATTACATTGGCAGTGATTTTTGGCGAAAATAATTGAAAATGTATTATTCAGCAGGTGAATCAACAGAAAGTCACCCCAACGACCGTGAGACCGTCGAGATTCCCGGCGACCCCGGCACCGGCGCCCACCGACAACGCCTGGGAAATACCGCCGATCCAGTGCTTCGAGCCCGAGGACGGAGTGTTTTACGCGCAGATGGGACCCACCGGCGGTAAGCACGGCTATCCGGCCATCACCGGCCACGTCGGCTGGGGCATCTCCTGGTACATCAACGGCCTGCTCATCCCGGAGATTCACGTGGTGCGCAACAAGACGTACACGTTCGTCGTCGAGGGCGGCGACAATCCCTCCAATCCGGCCCGCTATCATCCGTTCTACATCACCGACGATCCCGTCGGAGGTTATCAGCACAAGACTCCGGAAGAAAAAGCGGTACGCTTTTCGACTTGACTCGATCGATCGTTGAATAATTAATTTTACGGAAAAATATGTTGAACAGAACGTGAGCGTGTACGCGGGAGTCGTGACGCATCGCGGCACCATACGACCCACTGGAGTCGGACGCTTGTGCCAATGGACTCCGGACCAGAATCAACCGCTCGCCGACGCCTTCAACTCCTTCGGCGCCTATCAGCGCACCTTGACACTGGTCTGCGACTCCGGTGAGCCTGGATTCGTCACTTGGACCCCCGACGAGAATACCCCGGACACCGTTTACTATCACGTGAGCTTTCAAATATTACATATTATTCCAGCCAGGCAACGTTAAGAGTCGTATTCGTTGAAACGTTGGGGTAATTTCTGCGCAGTGCTACACCCATCGCTACCTGGGCTGGAAGATCCACGTGCACGACAGCTGCGAGAGCCTCGATCGGGCCTCGGCGGCGGCCAGCGAGCAGCACGAGGTGTTCGCGGAGCCCGATCGGAGCCGGGCCGCAGCCGCCGACCTGGACACCGAGGCGAGCGTCCACGGCGCGCCGAGCAAGGTAACTGCGCCCGCGCAAGCCTCGCCTGCGGATTACGCGAGGTTCGCAGGCCTGGAGCAGGATTATCCTGGACTGGGCCGGGATTATGCGTTGCGCGGTCACCATCTGCTCGCGCCATATCATCACAATATTCATCGCTCTAACCCCGCGAGCAAACTAGTAGCAGGTCCTTATAAACATCATCATCTTCATCATTACCAGCCGCAGTTGCAGCTGCAGCATCATAGCCATCCCTCCTCGTTCTTAGACGCCTTCTATTACTACATGGGAGGCAACAGCCTCAATAACAATAATCATAATAACTATCATCACATGCATCATAATCATCATCTTCATCATCATCATCCGCAACTAACAATTAACGCTGACAAATTGCAACGTCGCTCCCCGCTGAAATACCTGGCCGTCAAGTACGTCATGGCTAACAGTCCCGCGTCCGATCCCCGTAATCAGTTGCTTCATCATCACGCGCCTCATCATCATCATCAACTTCATCAGCATCAACTCTATCAGCATGTGTTTCATCAATCGGAGCAGCCACCGCAGCCGCCTGCGCCGCCGTCTAGCGCAGCGCCCGAGATGATCATTAACGCCGAAACGGCTACGGAGCCGGCCTCGGTTACAGAAATTGCCTCCGAATCACAACACTCTAAAATTATTACAGATCAGCAGCAGCAGCAGCAGCAATATCAACAGCAACAACAACAATTGGCAGTAGGCAAGAGTCCAGAACTTACTTCGGAATCGTACATCAGCGCAAGACCAGCACCAGCAGCTAGCTCGCAGAATCTCGTCGTGACCAAGAGCCAAACGCCGATGTTGCGCCAGCAGCCAGCAACGGCACCTCAATTCATCCTGATGAGCAAAAAGAGGCAGTACCCCATTTACTTTCAACCGTCCATGAAGAGGCCCATGCTGGCGCCGATCGCCCTGCCCTCCATGCCCTACATTCCCAAGCCCGCGGTGGCGTACGAGCGCAAGAAAGCCGTCTACAAGTCGCCCGTTCCCGTCGTGTCGCGCATGCAAACCTTGAGCAAGCCCAAGATCTATTACAAGCCCACGAAACTCGTCAAGGTCGAGATTCCAGCAGCGGTGCCTGCACTAGTGCCACAGAAAATGAAGATCGAGATCAAGGACGAGGGCTTGACCGGCGAGCTCAAAAGGCCGCTCGTCATTCCGACCAAGAACATGGGTTTCGATCCGTCGAGCATCGTCATCGAGCGTGGCTTCAAGCCCATATTCAAGAAATTACCTACAGCCGAGCTGCACGAGCAAAATAAAAGGCCCGAGCTGATGTTCCGCGACGAGACGCCTTCGGCCAGCGAACAGATCGGCGAAACTCTCGGGCCAGTCTACGTTCCGCCGTCCGCGGAAAAGAGCGTGGACAAGAAAGAGACGAAGAAAAAGAGCAAATCCATGGGAAAATCAGACGACGGAGAGCAGATTTTCGCTCGGGAACCTTTTCTACCGACTCTGGCGACTTTCGCTAAGAGCAGCTACGGAGATAAGTCGTTAACCACGGAGAGATCGAGTCAGGAATCGGCTTCGAGACCCAAGAGAGACGCTCAAAATGACCACAGCCATCAGCATCGCGAGGATCACGATCACGGCCAATCCGAATCCAAAGAGCAACAGTCCCAGCCGAGCAGCACCGCCGAAATCATCATAGCTAACATCGAGTACATCGCTCTGACCGTTATCCTCTACTTTGCGCTCTAAACATTTTTGCTCTTGGGATTTTGTGCTTTTGAGCTTTTTCTGAGACCGGAACAGGCGCCGCCGCGGCGAGTGCGAATTGTTTTTGAATGTTGGACATTGGCGAAAATTATAACGCCATTGATAATTCAATTTTTTTTTTCTTCGACGAAACACCGATGAAAAAGTTAGATTCAATGAAATCAATACGAATTGCTGAAAAACTATTGAAACTTACGGGATAACTTTTACTGATTTTATTCACCGATAGGGGTTTTATACAATTTCTTGAAAATCATGACGAGACTCGAGCTGTTATATTCAATTACCTCGTAGTAAGTAATGATACTTTTTATTAAGTCTGATTTTCCTGTAATTTTTAAGTTTTTTTTTTAAAGCAATCATAATCTTTTTTGTGCAAGAATAAAATAATAAAACTTGAGGATATTTTTAAACTTTGAGTAACGTACAAAATAGTTATTTTAAAGATGAGTTATATCGCATAGGCATAATAACAATGACACTTTGGGTCATTTAACGATAACAATATCATGTAATCGAATAATTATTAAGTTTGCATAACTGTCACAAGTGTACATACGTAAATGCAAAAATTCGTACTGTTAATAAAAATACTGATTATCCTAAAACTTTGCATTGATTCATTATTCGCAAATTCATCTACATTGGTGTATACGTATGTACTGAAGAGCTACCAAGCAGCATACCAAGTCTCCAATATCTTTCTCCGTACATCTCTTGCAGAGCCATTGTTATACAAACACGCGAGCGAGCCGCAAGTCGCCCGACACTCGTACAAGACCTGGCGTTATGAGACTCGAGAGTTTCATGTATACGTATACATATATCTGTCGGTGTAAAAGGTGCCAACCCCTTTGATGTTCGTACTCCAGACGCCATGCATGACGCCGAAGATGTTCCGCATGCAGACATCGTAGTGAGAAAATCGGTGTCTCGCTGATTCGAGTACCTCCTTCGCTTTGTTCTCGCATAAAGAAACTCGCCTTGCTCCTTGTCACCTTGGTTACAGTGCGCCTTAATAATTATGACGTTTTCTTTAAAAAAAAATACAACGTTTTTGAATAAGGCAAACGAAAAATTCAATTATCAATTGTTATGAACAATTTCTCCCTCCCGACATCTTTTACCAGCTACAAGTTAATAAAATGCAAAGAACATTAGATGCTTGTAACAATATACAGAATAAATCTGATGCACATGCTCTAGTAGTATAAGTATGACAGAGTACATGACATTATTAAAATATACATTGAACTCGTCTGTTCAATGGAATCGAAATAATTTCACGAGAAAACTGCCACAGAAATGTATTTTGCATGCTTTTAATCGACATTAATTGAATTACAATTTTTTTTTTTAAATATGTGCAAGAAAAAAATGAAATTGTTAATCTGTAGCCTTGGATGAAATTGCCTTTGAAATTAGGACGAATCTATATACACCGTTAAGGTTCTGTGTACTAATGATCAATAATCAATTTTCTGATAAGTGCCAAGTATGTGTGCGCATTGCTATCCACGGAGTCTAATTAAAGCCTTTGCAAAAGAGCTCAAATAGAACTTGAAGTTAAGGGATGAGAGAGTAGTGGGGGAATTTATCATCTGTGAATAGAGGGATGGTCGTGTGCAGTAATGAGAGAAATTCCTACAGACAAATTTTCCAATGTGGCACGGATTGAGAAGATTACGTCACGCGTATGTTCTGTTAGGATCTAATGCTGTAATTTGGGTTTATTGTTTTTGTGTTATAATGAAGACCATATTTACTAATGCAACATTTGGAACTTTATTAATTATTGTGTGAAAATTAGATATAATATACATTTTTTGTTTGGTATTGATTTTCAGTATTGAAAATAATTACTACATTTAAATAAATATTAAATTTTCTTATTGATTGACTGAAATAGTATCGATAATTTAATTTTTGAAACATCATTTTTTGAATTTTTGTGACTTATTATTTGAAAATAATGAATTGTTAAGTCTTTTCAAAATATGAGATTAAAAGTCATTTTCATTGATAATACGGACTGCTAAAACTATTGAACGATATTTTCCTGCTCGGGAAAACGCTACAATTTTACAAAGTATTCCCATCATAATGAGAACGAACAACGCTTGACATCTTATCGTATTCTTTCTACGATTATTAAATCACTGAACAATGATTTAAGAAATCTTATTTAATTACAACTCTAAAAAATTGAAAAAAAAAACATTTGTCAACAACAAATTATAACATCTCGTCGATTTACATTTAGCTACAAAGTCGCTATATCAAAACTCTTTTTACGTACAAAATCCGGCCAACGTTCTATTTACAAAATCCATTTAACGTTTTCTTAAAGAAATGAGAAAGGGAAACAAAATAATAGATCGATGCTGAGTAGGTCTTTATAGCAATGGTTGATACCAGACTATTCGACCACCAAGACATCCAGAAACAAGAAGGCAGTGTCTGGGCGAAAATTTGGTACTCGTAACGATGCTGTCGTGACTGTAACTTGAAGCAACTTCATGGAGCGGTACTGACTCGCCATGGTTAGGAACGCAGTCCGACAATTCTTGGCATTCGTTCGAGAAAGCGAGAAGACGAAGTCCTTTACCGTATGGCGAGCAAATCAGTCGACCATCGGATGAGAAGCACAGTTCCTTTATGTAACCCGAACCAACGTTTGGCTCTTCGATGTAATGAGTGAGACGACGCGTGTTTTGGTGAATTCGGTGGTTTCTTGGAATGGCGTACGTCATGGATGGTCCATGGCGATTATGATTTTGGGGTCGCCTATCGCCCACAATAACTACCTAAAATTTTAACAAAAACGCTCATTTAATTATCTTCTGAAGATTGTCAAAATAATATATTATTTAATTGTAAGTGCTAAGTACTGTGTGAGAAGTTCGTGGTATATGAACGCTGATGCCGTTGGCTCTATTTGTCCACTGATTGTTTCTACCATCTTCGTGATGAAATTCTCGTTCGTTTTCGCGTCTCAGTCTTGCCTCTCGTATGGCTACCAATGCTTCCCAAACATCGGCTGAATTTACATGCAATTCAACATTACCAGACGATATTCTGCGGTTTTCCGTCAAGCTATTACGACGTCTTCCTCCGACATTATCTGATGTTTCATCAGCGCCCTGAGAATTGCGTCGTTGTCCTGAACGTCTCCTTCCTAAAATAATAATTATAATCATCGATAAATAATGTAATTTAAAATAAAGATTTTTTAATTATCCCGTTTAATAATTTTATTACTTGGGCGGCTGTCTGGATCATCATCGTCGTCGTCGAAACGTTCATTCAAATGTCCCCGAACTGTAAACGCAGGATCTCCAGACTCGCCTACTTCGACGACGTTACCAAAGTCTGATGTCCTTGATCGTCTTTGATTTGCCGTGCTCGACCTGGTATTTCGTCTCTGATGAGATTGCCAATTACTCATACGTGATGGTAAATTTGGTTGACCAGCATCCGACGAGCTAAATCCAACTTCATTTGGATCAATTGCTCTAACGATATGAGTTCCGTGAGCAGTATCGATAACGAAAGACGAAGTTATTCCAGAACGAGACGGTTGTTGCGAAACACTGTCGTCTAATTCTTCAACAGAAAAATCATTAGTGAATCGGGATGATGAACTGGCAGGTGATGAGACATCTTCGTCCATTACATCCATATCGTCTTTGTAGTTATCCAAGTCTCGTGAACCATTGGAAAAGTTCGAAGTAGATCGCTCTTGTATATCGTGAATACAAGTCCACTGCAAAATAAAGTTGAACACGATTGTTAAAATTATATATATAAGCAAACCAAATATTCATTCCACATAAATTACCTCTGATCTTTCCTGAGAGCTGACGTTCCTGGACAATGCACACCAACCATGTGGATGTACTTGTAAACTAGATATTACTTCAGCATCGTCCCCTGACGGAAAATCTGTGACGAATTCAAGGCGATTTTGAGTACGATTGTTGGAAAACAAATGAGTGAAACTAGCAGCCACAGGAATCGTAGTTTGTGATAATTGCATAAGTCTATACAAATTTGGCTAAAAAAATTATCCAACAATATTATAAATTTATACATTAGATGTATTTAATATTATATGACTTTTTAGTGTTTTTATTAGTTTTATAAATTACCTTAAATCCATGTAAATCTTGATTTAATGTACTTAGATTCAAATCATGTATAACTATTAAATATCCAGAAGTGGTGCAGATCAGCATTTTGGTAGCATCTGGAGTCAATCTGGACCGCATCAATCCATTTGTTTGGAAAACTTTAGTTGATAAGCAACTATCTTCAGTCAAACTATACAATATAAAATAATTATTTTTTAACTTATTAAATTGAAACTCAAATTGATCATCAGTAACATACTTATTGATGTCCCATGAAAATATAACTCCATCAAAACCACTTGTTAAAAGCAGCTTATCTTTTGGGATGTATTCAATGTTTTTGACCCAGTTTGAATGGCCTTGTAACTTACGTATTTTATTTTTTAAATTCCTTGCATCCCATAAAGCTACTGTGCTATCATCTGAACACGTTGCAAACATTCTTTGATCTAAAAATCTATGTTAAAATAAATGGTTAAAGATTGTTAATAAAATTTACTGTATTATTTGTAATGATATTGATAAATTTTTACCTAGCTCCATTGACACAATCATCATGTGCTTCGTTGATAGAGTGTATTAATCTTCTACTTAAGGGATCAAACATTAAAACACTTTTCTTCTCGCATGCAGCTAGTAGAAGTGATCTGTATAAAAAAATGATGTAGATTAATCATTTTTGCCATTACAGATAAAATAAAACCTTTTGTAAAAATTTTTAACTTGCCCATCGGGTGAGTATTCTAAATTGAAAACAGCTCCGTGCCCAGCACTGGAATTATCCCAAGTTTTGACTCGTTCAACAGAGGTATACAATGTTTTGTGAAACATGTCATTTTGACCTAAGCTAGGACTCATCCCGAGTTCTCTGTTCCTTATATACATATTGCTAAAGGATTGTCTAGCTTGTGCAGCGGCTCTGCGTCGATTTTGCTCCGCCCGAAGTTTTGGCATTTTTAATGATTAAGAATAGGATTTAAAAATCAAAATATAATCTGCGCTTTGATTTTGCCCTCGACTGCTGTATTTGTCCGAGCCTATTCGGCAATAGTTCGAATTTTTTTCCCGCACTACATAATTTCGTGTCCATGCGTGTAAAACTTTGCGTCAAGAAGCACTACTACAAGACCCAAGCGTGACGTTTACGATTGATCTGTTATTTTTTGACAGACAACTCACAAATAAGCCAGCAGACTTTCGAGGTTAGGTGTCAGAAAGTAACTAACTATAGGTAAATTCTACAGCGAGTGAGTATACAGCAGTATAGTTGTCTGGCACAATGTTTTGATGCACTCGATGCGAGGACTGGGGAGGATGGAAGAAGGGTCTGCAGCAGAGCAGCGTTAGCAAGAGCAACTAGACACCTATCGAGTTTTCTAATGAACACAAGTTGACCTCGAGAGCGTGTTGTTGAAGCCTCGATTCGCACAGTCCGATGGACAAGGTAGACGGTGCAAATCTCGAGCCTGCGAGTCTTGAATTTTCGTCTGCTTCGCAAATCAACAAGCCCGAATTGGAGCGCGTCTCGCGCTGTTGGTATACAATGCTCTGTTAACGAGATAATCTAAATATTCTCGCGCGGCCATGTTTGCACACAAAAGCATCGGTCGAGACGGGCAATTTGTGTATTCTGCACTTTCGTATATGTGCAGAGGCGAGTATATGATATGTATATTTTACTCGATAAAAGCTAATACACCATGTATAACTATATAATCCGTTGCATAGGTCCAATCATTCGCGCGCACATAGGTGTACTTATATTTGAAGGAAGGATCACGAGGTCACTGGGGAGAACGAGCAAATGCTCTTAAATATATCATACATATAACAATTGGAAATATGTGGGCGTGGATCATCTAAATGTAATGCTTTGTTATAGTGGATACTATACAGCACAGCTTCCGATAATGTAATATTTCTTGCTGTAAGAGGAGCACATCTCGCGCGAGAGTTACATTTCCACCGACGAATGAATTAAATTTTCTTGCAGCTGCTATAGAGCGTCCAACTGGTCATTCGTGTCGTACGGTGATGCGCGGCTAATGACAATCATTATTGGGACGTTCGATAACATTTGCAGCTAATTATTGACTGAACTTATCTCATGAGTGTGTAAGCGATCTTATAAATGAAACCTTATCAATTTCTTGCAGCCGGTTAAACAGCGAAACATACAAGGTCTTCTTGGCAGGTTCAAACAATTTGTCGGAAACACGTGAAATTCTTGAAGATTATATTTTTTACAGCTTGGTAGTAAACGCCAACATTTTTTATTCTTTGACAGGGCATTTAAATATCGCGCAAACTGCCTTATCAGCAAAGAGACATAGGCAGTAGTTCCCTCTACATGATGAATTTCCAAGTATCAATGTCACTCACCGATTTACCATTGTGTAAACAAACGACGAATCTATTCGTTGAAGAGTGAAAAAAATCAATTGTTTTCAATTGTTTTTTTTATTAAAAATTGACTGTTTGTGAAAATAGTCCGTTTGAATTTATAAAATAATCAAAATAAGAGAACAACTCGATGATTATTGAGTCACCCTTTTTTGTCGACTCCAAGTTGGCAGTACTCATAACTTGGTCGTAATAAAAGTACGCTATTCTCGGGCCTCGCATGGCGACACACGAGTGCAACAAAGACGCAACGTAGGTATGCAGGGCGCGTTTATTTGTATCGTTTAGTACGAGTTACGACGCGAGTAAAACTTTTGCTCGCCGGTTGTCCTCGCTACAGGGGCTCGATTCTAACCTACATGAGCATCTACTCGGCATCCGGTATCAACGCTTCGCAGTTCGCATATACCGAGCGGCATACGAAGAGAGAGAGAGAGAGAAGAAACGGCGAGTACTTGTGAGGCCGGCCGCAGTTGCCGCATCGCGCACTTCGCAGTCTCGTTCCGTCCACATTCAAGGACACAGTACCACACATAGTCGCGCGCTTTTATAATACGCGTATTATATAGAGAAGACACATCTCGCTGAACTTGCCTACACGTATATGTACCACAAGTGAACTCTCTCTTTTGGCGAGAGAAAAAAGACCCTTCGCAGTCGCGCGCACGCAGAGTGTGAGTACATATCGTACACGTGGATCCTGTGTAGCGCAGTATTTAGGCAGTGAACATCAAGAATTTAGGGAGTGCCTGTCGAGTGTCGATCGTCGCTCGCTTATATTTCTATATAAATCGCGCGCGAGACAGCCACAAGTGTGACGTTTTTTCTGTTCAACCACTGCCCAGCGGGAGAAGATAGAAAGTGGAACGGCACGGATTTTACGGAAGCATCGTAAATATCTGCGCTACTGGCGTTTGTCTCGCTTTTTGTGCACACATAGGCTGCAAGAGCGTCTCTTTCCCACAGAGAGTAATTATCCAAGCGTACGTATCCACTTACATTGCACGCACGTATAGAATATATATAATATCTATGTATGTGTATACGCATTGACGCACGTCTATATACACACATGGTCGCACACATACGAGTAAGCAATTTCATGTCGTATGTGCATCCATATACACACTATCTCTATATATATATATACGACGTGTCTCTCTGCGTATATAGTAGTTACTAGCTGTAGGGTATGGAGAGGAAGAGAGAAAGAGAAAATAGGAGTAAAAAATCGCGTGTATGGTGTACTGCGACGGCCCAGCGCGCGCGTCGTGCTCTTCTTTGTGTCTCTTAGGCACCAAACGGACTTATATAGCCGGTGTATAATTAAAACGTAACTCCACTGTCCAGTCTGCTACTGCTGCAGTGTGCAGCGTGTTTATAATAAAACGCGGCATTTATAGTTTATAATACTCGCCAGGAGAGATCTCGTAGTCGTAGTCGAATCCTCTCCTGTGCTTCGTGTGTGTATGTGTATTGTAAGGTATGCCGATATCTATCCATGCTCTTCTCTCGACTTGTTTCACTTGGCTTTTAATATTTGCGTATATGGAAGAATATTGTAACTAATATAAATTTATGTGATGCGTATGGGTGTAGCAAGTATATATGTGAGAGTGCGAGTGCCGTTAAAGGCGCATTCCTTGAGACTTATAAATATGAACGAGTTTGCGAGCCGGCCAAGCCGTGGTACTTAATCGACGAACTCCCGACGTAGTTGCGTACTTGGCTCGGCTCTTCACTGTACATACTCTATATCATATATACGCTTTGATATACTCTAATTATTGTTATCTTTATATGGCCTGCGTGAAGATTGGAGCCATACGTCGCGCTCATATTATATTAATTCTATAAAACTGTGTTATTCGAGTACGATGATCGTTATTTCGGTGGCATGGTGTGATACTTAATACTTCTCCCTCCAACTTGTGAAATTTTTTTTCGGCTTTCACTCCCTCTATTCTGCTCGACGTGAGTTTTTTGAACTTTACTACTCTCGTAAGCTTATGTTATACACACATCCTACCCACATTCCTCTTGTGGGTCTACTACAAAAACTAACATTATTTTCTTCTCTGTTTTATCTATACTTTCGCTTACCTGCAAAAATAACGTAATGGCAATTATTGATTTTTTTTCGGATGGATATACCGTTCGTACATTCATAGGCTTCATCACTTGAAGAAGCAATACATACACTCGGGCGAGGACAATAGTCTGCTCTTGGCACTTCTTTTCCGAGAATACGATATCCCCCCAGTGACTTGAAACGCGGTTTTTTTCTTTTGCCCGCACCACAGACGCGGAATAATCTCCAGGGTCATTGTAAATAATCCACCGGTTTGCGCGGATGCTTTAAATGTTATGTGCATAATTTTTTGCTTTATGCATTGAATGCATAACATATATCAAGTATCAAGTATTGAAATCACACCAAGATGCTCAACTTTTTGTCTGTCGGTATTATTGTCTGTCTCTTTCTCTCCCTCTCTTTCTATCTTGCCAAGATCAAGTAACTAATACAATAGTCTACTTTTGCATAACTGCATTAAAGTTGAAAACTTTGTAAAGATTGCTTTATGATCGGTAAAGTCCATCAAATTTTTTTAAATTATTAAAACATTTCATAATTCGTAACACAGCTTTGCAATCAATCCTGCATAATCATGGGTAAAACTACAGCTAAGAATGGTTCGGGCACTGGGGGCAATGAGAGGCTAAAATCTGTTCGCAGAAACAAATCAACCAGCATACCCTCACATCTCTCTCCAGAAGCAGAGTCTGTTACCTCAAGCAGGTTTGTTCCTTCAATTAGTCAATTACCAAGTCCAATCAATGTATCCAGTGTGTTTTTTAATGTTGTTTTTTTTAATGTAATAACTTGTGTTCATTATTGTGGTTTTGTGATTAATGATTTTATTTAATGTTTATTTATGTTTTCTCTAAAAAGATTGTGTAACAAGTCTTTTTTAAAACTTGAGCAATTGACGTTTTATTGAAAAGACTTAATGACATACAATATTTTCTCAACATTCATTTTCATTTGAAACTTTTAAATTTAATAAAGAATTGTGTATTTAATGCCTCTCATTACCTCTGGTTATTTTTATCTTTGGTTAAATCAACGAAATGCTTTTCTTTTAATCAATGAGCAAGATGTACTAATTTGATTTTAATATTCTTGTTGCAGATTAAAAGCTAGTGGAAGTGCCACTAAACAGCCATCATCCACCAAAACAAGCAGTACTAAGGTGAAATTAAAATTAATTTTCCATGAAACTTGGCTTTAAATAAAAATGGAATATTTTATCTCACTTCAAACTTGATCAAAATCACAGTCTGATTTTATAAAAAAAATTTTAAAATTCTTATCTTCTAGTATTAATTTTCAATTAAAACAAACTGTTTTATTAACTGAAATTATAAAACATGTTTGCTATTTTCATGTTTTATATGAGAGTTCCAAATTTCATGCATAAAAAAGTGTTACTTTATCAAAGAGTAATTTAAGTTCAAAGTCATCTAACAAACATTTTTAATTTTTTAGACTAAATCTCAAGCAACACCTAATGTTGGGTTGAGCCAATCCCCAAGTCGTGCAAACAAAACAAATTCAAACAAAGGATCAAAAACAATCAGCACCATTAAAGTTAAGAATTTAGAACTCAAAATGAAGCCAGAAACTGATAACTTGGAAAGAAATAACAAGTTTGATAAAGACTCAATTGAAAAAATTGAAATGAAATACCCAGAAATTGATATAAGCAGTACTTATGAAACTATTCAATCAGAAAATGGGAGTACAAATAGCTTAAATGGTAGTAACGGTGCATTAGAAGAAATGATCACTAATAATGAGAAAGGAAATGGAAATGGCACTCAAAATGGAAATGAAGATTCAATAAATCAATCAATGAATGCTGACAGCTTCCACATGGCTGAAGAAGATTTTGCTTTACAGCTAGAAGTTGATGACGCTTGTGGTAAAGAAGACAGACCAAATAAGCCCACAGAATCAGCTGAAACTACTGAGTCAGTGGAAAAAGCAGAACCACAAAAAACTCAGATTGAAACAAGTAGTGAATCCCCTGTTAAAGTTGATTCTACAACATCTGAACAAACCAAATCAGAAGAAATTTCAAAAAATGACGAGAATCAAGAGGTTCCTAAAATAGAATTGAAAGATATGCAAGTTAATTTGAAAGATTGCCTGAAAGATCCAGAGGTAAGAATTTTTTGTTCTATCATCAAAATTTAAAAATTTTATTTAAAAATACTAATACTAGGGTAATTTAAATATTATAATCCATTAATATATTTTTAAATGTAGCTAAGGGAATGTATAAACAATGTAAAAAAACGCGAAACCAGTCCAAAGGAGAACTTGAGTCCAAGTGTACGAATTTTTGTTTTATTTAATTTTCCCACTTTTTTCTTTAACTTTTGTAACTTTCAATCTTTTCGAAAATTTTGGAGAATACTCTATTTTTTATCAATTACAGGAAGAAAAGAAGGAAGAAGACAAGAAAGATGAAGAAAAGAAAAGTGAGGAACCAAAGGCTCCTGAATACAAACACAAGGATGAAACATTCAGTCAAACTCTTCGGACAATATCTGGAAGGAGGTCTCTATCTCGCATGCGAAACATGCGTGACTCGCCAGTAAACAGCTCACTATTTGTGAATACCTCAAATATCTCCTTGGCTGAAGATGCTACCACACTTGACAATAAAACGCCTCGCGAGCGTAGAGCGTACTCCAGAGAAGCTGCATCGTTGCTTAATGGAACACCGATTGACCGAAAACGCAAGATGGTGCATGAATTACCAAGCTCCAAAAAGCCAAAAATTGAGAACGCTGATTCTAACGGCAGTTTTTTGAATAAGTCTTTCGAGCTTCTCAAATATCCATTTAGTCCGAGAAAGCCAGCGCAAGTTTCTTCACCCTTCAATTGTAAAATCGAAAAACAAAGTATTGAATCAGCTCCAGTTGAAGCTGTAGACCCAGCTAAAAAGTGGTGCGTCCTTATGTAAATTATCATTTAAGGACATTTTGTTGTTTACAAACACAATAAGTTTGCAGGATAGGTCGATTTTTAATTCAGTTCAATTTTGTACTTTTAATCGGATAATTACAATGTGCCTTCTTCGAAAGCTGTAAGTTGATTTGAAAGCCTATAGACTCTAAATTTTTCAGTTAAAAAACATAAAGTTTGTACATATTAAAATACATATAGTATCTTTTATTTTATGGAAATTTTACCTTAAAATTTTTCGATATCCGCTTAGATAAAACTATCAAAGTTGGTTCATGAAACGGAAAAATTATTTTGTAGAAAATAATTTGACGTAACTTAATCACTAAAATTAATATTAATTTCTCATTTTCACATTCAAACCCCTGAACTTATTGAGCCATACAGCTTAATATATATATATATTATAACCATTGAGCTTATACAAATCTACATTTACCACGTTTTTACCTTGTAATTTAAAAAAAATTATTCTTATACCGAAGAATATATGAATATGATAACGATTTGATTTAAATATATTACTTATCCTGCAATCTCCAAATACACACTATACATTTTTTAAATGCAATGCAATTTCGATGAAAGATTGTTTATCAGGCGATATAAATTAATTTGACTGCAAAAATATTTATATATGTAAATATATAAATATATGTGTATCATAAAATTGAATATTTGTGTGTTACGGAAGAAATATATTTCTGTATCTACTGAATGAACGATAATGATTGTGATTTTACAATTATATTTATATAATTGAAATTGACTTCTAATTTCATTGCAATTATTTGTATCTTAGTATTGAGTAAGAAGTAATAGCCCCATGAACGGCCCAGATTTAATGTATCTTTCAATGTTTAATCCCTTAATGGCGATAAATTTTCATTTGAAAATATGATTTTTTTCATGATCGCACAATTGTGTCAAGTATGCCTTACCTACATTTGAGATTAGGTACTTTAATTTTGTAAAATACGTATTTAACTTTAAGCTGTTTCTAACGTTTCTGCTTTATGCATCTTTTTGATATCTTTGATGTTAATTTATTGAGTAATATGTAACAGAAACTTTGTTCATCGACATTATATACAAATATACGCAACAATGAGATGATGTTCAATCAGACATGAAAAAAATTTACGTATCAATTGTGTATAGTTACAGGTTAAATAATTGATCGACATTTTATTAGTAAAGTAAGGATTTTATTTATTTCCTTTCATTGTAAGTGGTCATTATTCATGCGCAGCTTTGTTTAAACGCATTTTTAGTTTCATCATTTGCGATCATCATAATGATTATATATTTTCCTAAACATTCTATAAATTGTATGTGAAGTACAAGGCGAATACTTTACTTTTGTTGTAGAGTTGAAATATTTCTGTAACAATTTGCCCTTGTTTTATTAAAATTTAAAAAATTTCGAGTTAATGTACAATTTTACGTCTTACACATCGAGAGTATTATAAATCAAACTAGTTTTCTTATTGAAAATGAAGTAAAATTGTTTACAACGGCTAAGAACATGACAAAAAAGTATCATTCAAAAGTATTTGATTACCATTACATTAGTTTAACTATTTTACATTGTTTATTATTATTATATATTACACAACTTGCCTATCTTTACGAACAATCACTAACAGTGTTGGATGAAATATTTAATTATATACCGTTATTAAATAAAGTACTTTTTTATTTCTAAGATTACGGGCTTTAAACAAAAATTGGCATTTTTAATCATTAAAATCTAAGCGAGTATGAGTTATTTTAAAATAAATAGATAATTATTTAACATGTACATAAGGAATATGAAGTTTATAATAAAATTTCCGACTCCGTAAATGAGCGTTCGCTTCTTTGATCTTACCCATAAGGAAGATTCCGATTACCTGCAGAATAATTCAGTTTTATTAAACGTAAGTCAGTATGCTTTGAGAGAGAGAGAGAGATTATAGGATCGAACTTCTGATCGGTAAGTTTTTAAATAGCGTGCAAGCTTTCTCGAGCTTGGGAGAGATGGAGTTGCATCACAGTTTTCCCCCTTGGAAATATTTCGTACCTCATGAAACGAAAATTTATTTTCACCAACATCTATGATGTACCAGCTGCACAGCATATGTCGAAAAGAGCTCGCATAAAAATGCACCGACAATGAGATTGAAAAAAAATAGACCCAGACGCGTTATTCATCTCGCCTCTCACGACAACTCTGACTCGTCGCCGCGATAAAACAGTAAATAGTTAAAACGTCACCCGGTTGCGCGCCTCGGCTGTGTCATGTTGTCGCCGTGACAAAGATCGAGCTTCATACATGCTGCATGAAACGCAGCAGCGCACGAAAGGCATACCAGAGCAGACTCGAGTTAATCTCCTTATGCAATAAAGCGCACCTTTGATTGCATTCCATAGGCTATAAGCGCGAACAATGTTTGTAGCGCGCACCAATGATAATGCCACCCTCTACCTCTGCTTCTCTCTCTCTCTCTCTCTCTTGTGTGCAGTTCTCTACACTCAAAGCTCTCCAACTCTCGCATCTCTGTGTCTGTATCTGTTCACCGTCCGCTGATCAAGTTGATCGTTGTGTACGTACGTGCTTGCGGGTGCGTATATATGCAATCGCACACGCTCCTCATCGTAGGCCTACGATACTCGTAATTTGTTTTTTTGAATTTCCATTAATTACAGTAAACCCGGGTAGGCACATTATATATGATTGGACGCAAGCGGGCAGAAAAGTCACGTTTTCCACAACTAGCCCTGCTCTCGCAGCATTAACAGCAGAGGATGTTGCATTTAAATTTTTGTTTCGCAGATTGCAGCTCGCAAATAAAGTTTTGTCAGCGCTAGCACGAGAGAAGTCACAGCAGCAGTTCGTGCAGCGAATTAAACGCTACGTACGGTCAGTAACGGACGATATTTATAAAGTGTGTCACCGAGCGATTTTTGCAAAACTCTATATTCTCGAGCTTTTGCGCTCGATGGGCAACGAAAAAATTCACCCGAAATAATTAGCCCTGTGCATCGAGTTTCCAGGCATCGAGACGGATTACTCGTGCACTGCTGAGTACTCGATGAAAGTTTAAAAAACAAAAACAAAAAACAGAACATTCGGTGAAGGCGATGCTATAGAGGCCGCACATTTGCTACTTATAAGCAAAAGCCCGAGCCGCAGGTACATGTTATACGTAGAGATCTACGAACTCTTGAAGCCTGGTATTATATATAGCTCGGGTAAGTTACTTTATTCCTGGCGCGATGCGCACTCGTGTGCATAAAAGAGAAGGAAAAAGGCACTTTAAAACTCCAGAAACTCACGCCTGCAGCGCAGGCTGGCCTGGCGAGCGCACGCGGCTTTTATATTCCCAAATGTAAAGGGCTCTCTGCAGCTGTGTAGCGTGGAGACAATAAAGAAGTTTGTCGCGCGCGACGAAATGTAGTGGAGTCGTTTCGACCGCTGCTTCGATTGCCTTTGATCATTTTATTCGCTCGTTTTAAATATTACGACGCCTATAAATACACATGATATAAATTGTCATCTGCTCGCGGTATATGTAAGCGTCGCGCAATCGCACGTCCAGATGACCACTTCGCACGCCATCAAGGAGAATAGCGTAATATGCTGGGTACAGCCGAGCGCGGAGAATATTACGGAAACGAATGCGTAGAGCTCGCATTATGTCGTCCTCGCAGGCTGCAAAATATGGAAATAAGTAGAATGAAAAATGAGCGGGCTATTAGCGTAATTAAACTACAGGGTACCTTTACTTTTCCTCTGTCTATTTTACGTAGCTGCGAGACGCCGGAGATGGTTGCAGGCCACTTTTCCGCAGCTACTTATATAAGCTAAAAGCTTCTTTGCTTTGGGAATTGTCGGGTCCTTGTAAATTTTTATTTACGCAGTTTTTTGGGCTTATTACGATTCGCAAGCACATGCGGCGAGCGCGGAGGCAAAAATGCTGAAAATTTTCAAGTAAGACTGGTGTATAGTTGTAATGCAATATTACCGCAGAGTCTTGCGCTTATACATCTGCTCTACTTCATTGTCATTAGGTGACAAGCTGGAGGCACTGCACCAGCAGGTTCATGATTAATCTACAAACGCGAAGTGCACTTCCTTCGGCTCGTAATTTTGAACGACATAGTTGTGTCGTTGTTGTTGTTGTCGTCGTCGTCGTCGTCGTCGTTGCCGTCTTCTTCTTCGTTGTATCCTGACGAATAAAGGGGAAAGATGGGCTATGCGTTCGAGGAAACTTTGCTGGATTACGGCGGAATCGCGCCAAGTATATACAATATATACGATACACGCGACGAGGGCGATATAAGGTTGCGTATTTTAAGAACTCCATGAATGAGTAAATTTATGGAATACATTATACTTGTAGGCGAAATTTCTCATCGCACCGTGCGCACCGTTCGATTCGATTAGCGCGACGCCTGATGTATATTACTCGCGGAATTAATGCACTTTGGTAAAGAAATTACAATTACAAGTTTGACATTTGTTCGTTATTATTATTTCGTCAACTAAAAATTGTTCTATAACAAAATATACATTTTAACATTTTTTTTTTGTTATGAAAGTTAATAATATAAATGTATTTTAATTGAATATTACTGTTAAAGTTATTATGCACAATCGTCGTACAGATTACAATGGTACTGTTATAATATACTCATCTATTTTTAAAATATACATAAATTATTTTGTTAGCTGGTCAACACATTAATTGAGTCAAAAAACTTTTAGATTTTTTAAATGGATGTCTTCATTTGCTCGTGTAACAGTTAGTTAATTCAAATATATAAATAAATATAATACATTAAAAGCTCACAAAATTCGTCCGTGGTAAGTAATACAACAAAACAAATTATTACTTTTTTATTTACAACTGAAACTTATTACGATTATAATTAAATGCAACAAATAAACTATAAAGGTTTGATGTTCTTTTTTTCTTTAAAAAATGTCATGCAGCAAAGCATTCGGTATGCGATTATTGCCCGATCAAGTGAGAACCACGGCTCGATGCAGACAGGGTCCTTGACAGTTGCCTTGGCGCAGGCCGGGCCAGAGCACGGCTTTGATCCTCGCGCCGTGCGGGTCGGAGGACGATCTGTGCCTCGCGTGCCACTCCTTGCGGAAGTCGGAGCTCTGAGCGACGTCGAGGACGAGCGGCGTCGTTCGGGCGAGGCAAGCCCAGGCCAGCCGCGAGCAAGCCAAGGCGTACTTGCGTATCTCGGCGTTGTTTCTGCAAAAGCAAATCGGCGCCCATCCACATCCTAATTACACATTCTGTTATCGTGCATAATATATATAATATACGCGCACACGTTTATAACGTCTAAAACGCCAGGCGCATACAATGAGCATACACTATTTCGCGCTGCCTTATGCTGCGCTGCTTTTGGCGAATTATTAACGCATCGAGGCTATTTTAATTAAATTATTGCACTATCGCATTTAAGCGTCGAGGAATATTATTATTGTATATACCCGGCCCCGTCGTGTATACGTTGTACCGCCGCAAGCTCGAATTTCTCACGGCACGTCGAGCAGAATAAATAATAATTAATCAAGGTTGCAGCGACGGCTTTGAGCTAGCGCGAAATACAATGCGTTATGCGCATTCCATCGAGATTCCAAGTCGAGCTACCTACCTGAGACAGGGAAAATCGTAGAGCGTACGCTCGAGCTGGGCAGTGACTTGATGGGCCACCTCGCGGGCGCCGGATTGGGCACCCACCGTGGCCAGCTGTCGGCGGATGCAGTCCTCGAGCTCGTACGGGGCCGATGCCTGGATGGCCGTGTTCTCGCCGTTCAGCGCTCGCAGTGCCTCGATTCTGCGCGACGACTGGACGATGCCTGCAAGCCGCCACGACAACTACGGCATAAGAGTTGTTTAATGCTTATTTATTTCAAGTTGATCGTTCGCCTAAAATATTGTCAAATCATCCAAGTATATTATTTTCTAATCGACTGATGAAAAGCTTCGTCGATCGATTTTATCGGTGATTAATGCGACAAAATATATGTATACGATGAAACGAGCTTGCGAAGATGGCTTGGACTGTGCATTACCAGCGCTTATGCGCCAAGTTTCTTTGTGCTTTTGAATGATTAATGATCGATAATGTACAAACTATAACTGCCTTACTATGTGTGTATACCGAGATGACGGAAAAATTAAATAACAAGGCACGTTGCAACGATTATCCTTGCAATATATCGCTCATCTTCGACGAACACAAGAACGAGCAATTGTGCTCGATTGCAGTTCGCTTATACCTATGGAATCGTATATACAATGACCATCCTCGTCAACTGATTGCGAGGCACTCGTTGTCTTTTTTCTTTCGGAGTTTGATCGTATCGCCAAACGAGTATAACTGCCATTTGACTCGCAAAGCTCTATTTTTTTTTGTAAATGACTTTCCAAAAAATTCAGTACAACGAGAGCTTGCAGCATCAATTTTCAATAAATTACATTTGAAACGACTTTTTCAGATCTCTCTTTTTTTGTTGAATTCGTCATATATATATTTGAGGGATTATTTAATTTTTTTTCTTGATATTACTTGCAAACGGTTTTAAATCCTTTCAATTTAAATAAATCCTATTATTATCGATTTTTATTTTCCAAAGATAGTTTGATCATAAATTTACATGCATTTCCAACGATATACTTTTTCAATACAGATTATTTTCTTTTGTACCCTTTTTTTAAAAAAAAAAAAGCAATACTCGGTACGGTATAAAACGCAAGAGCTCGTTGAATAATGAATGAGGAGACCCGGTACACAGTGAAAAAGATAGAGAGACAGAAAGATTCATCGTGGAGGCTGCTACGGCTGTGTGCGTGTGAGCGCGCGGATAAATTTGAGAAAATATATACACAAAATGATCCGTGCCCACACGTCGTATACGTATGAACTCGCGTGGATGCAATGCAAATCTGTCGCTTTTCGCGTGTGCTTATTTTTTTTACTTTCTCTCGCCCTGAGTTCCGAAGCAGCAGCGGCTTCCCCCGCGCAAATCTCGCGCGTGTCCGCAACGCAATTCGAGATAACGACAGGTGTACTCGGTCGTCATGCCTTCGTTTAATAAGTCAGACTTACCGTATATATACGCGTACGTTAAGCTCGGCTTTGAAAAAAGAAGCAAAAAGACTTGCGCGCGATCGTACCCCTCTTTTTTCACTCTCTCTCTCTCTCTCTCTCTCTCTCTCTCTCTCTCTCTCTCTCTCTCTCTCGTTCTCCTCGAATCAAACGACACATTTGCATTTAAATAAACGTAAAGTCATTTCTTGAAACGTCAAAACGTGCTGGCAATCAACTTGCAGCTCTCCCTCTCTTGCTCCATACGTCGAGCAATGGAATCGATTTTTCGCGCTTGCACGTGTGTAGCCTTGCACAGCTTTCGGATGACTAGAGAGGGCAAAAAAAAGAAGAGGGAGAGAGAGAAAGAGAAATTCGGAGATTACCTGTTCCAGGTATTACAGGGATTAGGGTGCGTCAAGGATTAAAACGCTCTCTTTCACGAACTTCGTCTCGCATATATTGGAATGTGCAAGTGCACAGACGAAGTATTGTATTCAACATGACTGGATTTTGTTCGCAACCTATGTCCAAACGTGACTTTATTTCAACCCGACGATATTTGTACATATCTATGCTTCGATGTAGATCGGGCCGATTGATTTTTTTTCTGTTCTCAGCAGTAGTTTTGAAAATCATAATTCCATGTACGAGGACGCGTTCACGATGACTGGTGCCAATTTAATCGATGCGAGAAAGTCTTAATTTACTTAAAAGGGAGAGATCGAGTCTAACGCGGCGTTTACAAGTCATCTCATGATTATCAGTGGAATCCATTTGACGCTCGAGTCGAGTGATTTTTTTCGCTCTCGACTACTTCGCGCGCATATACTATGTGCTTCTCGAGAGGTGTAAATAGTTGGCATAAAATAAAACGAGCTGCTCGCTGCTATGGAATCGATTTTCATGAGCAGCGCAGTAGCAGTAGCTGTCGAGTTGCATTTTTCGAATACCTCGGGCTTTCTAATCTATATAGCGCTAGAGCAAAAAGTTTCTATCGGGTTTTGCAGCAAGCGCCCGATTCTTCCTTGGCCTATGATGGATATAACTCGTTTCGTTTCGTTTCCGTTTTTTTTCGTGCTTGCGCGAGAAAATCACGTGTCTCTCAAGATATCGCCGATATGCGATAATCATCGGTACTAGTAGCAGTGTAATAGTGCACCGGGACTAATTAAATACATCGGACACTCGGTGCGAAGAAAGTCGGGTATCTTGGGACATTTGGACTCACCACGACGATGGAGTACAAAATTTTGACCTTGAGCTCGGAGGCTTCCTTCAAGGGCTCCAGGTGGTCCAGGGCCTCGAGGGTGTGCTGGCTGGCCTGCGAATAGAGAGCGGCGTACCTCTCGCGTAGGCGCTCGATCGCCTGGTCGGCCGGACAGTGCAGGCCCTGGATCGTCTCGCTGGCCACGGCCTGGAGCGATCGTCGCTGCTCGTCCGGGGTCGGGCTGCAGCTCTCGTCCGTGTGGTAGCCGGCGCTGCTTGACTCCTCCTCCTCCTCCTCCTCGCAGTCCTCGTCGTACTCGGCGACGCTGTAGTCGACTCCCTGCGAATCGATCGGATAATTGAAAAGGAAAATCTCGCGTACGTACACGTTATTAAGCGACGAAATTCCCGAAGAGTTCTATTAGTGAATTCAATGGATTTGTGCAATGTCATCGGTTCTTGCGCGCGATCTGCCATGTGCGGTATACACTTTGCAGAAGTTTAGCTCTACTCGCTCTCTTTGCCTCGCAGTAATCCACGAACGCGTTCGATTTAACTACACGAGCTCGTACTTATGTGCGTACAAACTAAACGCTCCGAGTTATACCTCGAGCAGTGCGCGTATGCCTCGCCCCCTCGACCTTCGTCCCCCTTCCCGTCAACCCCTGACAAATATTAATGTTTCTTATAATGCTCGTTACAGATGTATAATTGGAAAGTTGTGCGCAAAATGTTTGAGTTCTCGAGGCAGCTGAGGCACGTACGCTCCCGAGCAGCAGCGAGCTTTCGCGGGCGTTAGCAGCCAAATTACAACTCGGTAATTTTTTATTTATTCTCTTTTTTTCGACCTATCTAAACTCAGCGAAATTTGAATAGTATCCATTTTTTATGCTAGGCTTGGAGTTACCGAGAGAAAAAAAATACGTATATCAAACGATAAGAAAATCTCCCCTTTGAAATTTACCGTTGGAATAAAGCTCGCTCGGCAGTTTTTTCTCCCAGAACTCGCTCTTTCCCCCCGCCCGCGAGTTTCAAAATCAGCTCAATTTGCTGCTACAGAGAAGAGAAAAGTTATCCAAAGAAAAGATGCTCTTTTAAGCCAAAGATGGAGTCGTGCTTTGCTCGCAAGCTCCAATTTTTGCTACGAATATAGGAATTGGCCGAGCAGAGAAGAAAAGAATATATATTTATCTTGGCTGCTGCTGCTGCAGGTGGTGAGGCTGTATAACTCTGCTAATACCGTATAATTATAACACACACTCCGTGGCTCTGCGGGAATAAGGCGCTATAAATTAATGTACTCCATAACAGCTCGAACGACTTGTAAAAAAAAGAACATGGGCCCGTGTTCTTGAGTCAATTAATTTCTGCATAAATATCGTTTATAAACATACAAATGGTTTGGGCTCGTTAACTTGGTACGAGCTGAATTGCTCTGCGTACACATCAATTCTGCACTGTATAGCGTCAAAGAGGGAAGTGAAATACAAATAGCTACTCGAGTTATACGCTTTTCCTCATTCTCAAATTAATTAACGCGAGAAATCACGCGGATATTAATATGAGGATCGAAAAAAAATCCGTCTCATGAGGCTTTTACATGTATAAGAGACATTGGAATGAATCAAAGACAGGCACTTTCGCATCTCGGTGAAATCTCTCGCTCGCAACTCACTAGCACGTAGACACATGCTCTTACAATCAGAACGTCGTAAAGTTGCAGAGTCTCGACAAAAGGAATCGAACGATCTAGTCTATATTTTAAGAAATACATAAGTCGCTATACATAAAGTGGAGCTCTCTTCGGGGAGCAATAACGCGTAACCGTGCGGTGCAATACACTATACAGCTGCACAAGTTCATACTCGAGTTCTGTGTATTATATATATAAAAAAAAAGTTTCCCAAGGTGTAAAAGTTTTCTTGTGGACATCTCTAGACGTATAGATGTTATAACTTTTCGAATAAACATAATATCCTAAACTGCTCCTGATCTGTCTCCCAGAAGCGCCAACGGAAAAGCTTGGCGCGACGAGAAAAAAAAAGAAGATGAAGAAGCAGAGCTCGCTTAGGAACGGATTTTATTCGTATCCTTAAACGTTTTAATCGAATCGCTCACTCGCGCGCTTAGGAAAGTCGAGCGGGAGATTTCGCTGCGTATAAAAGCGATCGCGGAGCTGAAAGCGGTCTACTACCAGCATAGAGAATAGTTATTTCACGATAAAACGTTCGTATTATAGCTCCGTCGAAACGGAAGCAAACTCATTGTACAATCATTGAATTTCATCGTTGAATTTCTGTTAACGACAGGTACGCGCGCGTGTTTCAACGCGGAGCAATTATTACTCTATACCCACCTTCGCGTTTAAACTTTACTCGAAGATGCAGCGTAATATCAATTCGATCCTATATTATACGCTATTCACACGCAGTAATAAAGGCGTCACGCAGTATAACACTTGAAAATTATTCGACGACGAAATATAATACTACTCACCGCTGCCGAGCCATCGGCGTTCATGAGTTGGAGCGCGAGGGCGCAGCCCTTGGAGAACTGGAGCAGCCTCGCGGCCAACGAAGTCTGTTGTTGCTGCTGCTGCTTGGAGCCGACCTCGCCGATCAGTCCGCCGCATAGCAAGCCCTGGGACTCCATCTTCCTGAGGCTGCTCCACTGTCGGAGCGCCTCCTTGTCCTGTTCGACGCGGCGCTTGAGCTCGGCCAGGAGCGCGTCGAGCTGGCCCGTGACGCGCGGACGCTCGAGCGCATTGAGCAGGCCCTGATTGTCGATCAGGCGCTGCTGCACCTCGCTGTACTTCAGCGACAGCTGCCGCTGGTGCGAGGCCGCTTGGACGCCTTGGTCACCTGTTAAAGCACGCGCGCGCGCAGAGGGGTCGGCCAACGTTAATAATGAATCGGACCATACTACGTATTCGGTATCGAACTATCCTCCTATTCGCGTACACTTATCGCCATCGAATATGGTATTAAAGTGGCATTTCAGCTGGCTGCGAAAACGAGAGCTCGTTTCATCACTTATTTACACGAGAGAGTTATGCTGCTGCGCACTTAAGCCAGGTTTCATCGACGAGCCGGTCTACTCTGCAATGCATGAGCATAAAAACTTCTCTCTCACACTTGAAATGACCTTAAATCAACGCGATTCATACATAATGCAGCAGCTTTTCCAACGCGTCGCTACGAGTTCTTAAAAAATCTTCATTCTTTACATTCAATTACGATTAATCGTATAATGAATTCGAAATTTGAATTGTTCACGAAAGCCACGAAAGCTTGCGACTAGAATTTCACCTAGATATACAAGCTATATATATATATGCAGCCGATACACAGGAGTTTAATAACGACTGTACCTTTGTGAAGTCCCGCGTGTTTGCCAAGGCTCTCTATTTTGTGCAGAGCAAGCTTGTAAGCGTCGGCTCGCTGCTCGAGCTCCTCCTTTAGGGCGACCAGCAGAGGCACGAGATTCGTCGTCGTCGTCGTCGTCGTCGTCGTTTTCGTTGTCGCAGTCGTCGGTCCGGCCGTCGTGGCCTGATGATGCTGCTGCAGCGGCGTCGTACCGCCAGCCGCTGTTGTTGACGCCGTCGCGCCGTTATTGGCGCCATTAGCATGACCAGCAGCGGAATGAGTGACGTTGGAAGTCGTCGACTTGACCGGGACGAGGCCGTGCTTGCCGAGACCCTCGACGGCTCGCTCCAAGGCTCGTCTGCGCGACATCAAAGCCATACGAGCGCTCGGCGCCGCTCTGTATATTCCCCAAAACACGAGCAGAGCGTTATAGCATTGTTGCGTGGATTATTTTTTTTTTTTTATATATGCGGTTGTCGCTATACGTAACATAATTAAAGATCCGCTAGTGGAGCTTGCGATATAATGCGCTATGGGTGGGAATTAGAAAATTATTTTCTGAAAACTATTTACAGGAGATCGCGTGTGCCAGGAAATTCGGTGGTTCGAGAATTCCTGAAATAATCTCGCGGAGCGTACATTTCTGCCGCTATACGGCTAGATCGTCCAGTGAAACATTTCACGTCAAGCTAGGAAAGCTCTCGAGTCAAACTTTGTTTATGCACCTATTTTCGAGTGAAAAATCCAACAGACGCGGCCACGTTATGGATGTTGCTTCAAATTTTTTTCTCTCTCTCGCCAAAGTCAAATAATTTCACTCGAAGCCAGTAAAATGTTAAAGCACACATATGCGTAAATGCAGGTTTGCAAATACATTATATATGCGTGTGTGAGTAGGGGATGCGTCAGGTAAAATCTATAACAATGCCGATGACAGGATCCGACTGGCGCGTATATAGGCGTGTTTGCTCGCGTACGAGATGATACGTGTCGAGTGGGCTCGACACAATTTCCCATGCGCGTCAAGGAGGAGTCAAAGGCAGAGAAGCCGCATCAGCGCAAGACGCGGGTAGATACGATCTCGTCGTACGCATCCGTGAGAGCTCCTCGCCGCATATATTGGCTGATCGGAGCGCGGTGAGACGAATTAGCGAAGGAATATACTGACCTGTTGAGGGCGGTCAAGAGCCTAGCCCAGGCGCGCAGATGAAAGGGATCCTGGTTGGTGGCGGCGAGCAGTCCGACGATCTTCCAGAGCAGCTGCTCGAGCCTCAGCACTTTGGCGTCGCGAATGCCGAGCTCGAGCATGCGGGCGTAGAGCGCCTCCAGCAGCACGAGGCTGTGGGGCAGCGTCTCGATCAGCAGGTCGATCGGTATGTCCGGCAGCACCGAGCGCAGCGTGTACTGGGGCAGCCGCAGCAGCAGCCCGGCTGCCTCCCTGTACTGGCGACCCTCGTACAGACGCAGCAATCTGCAATTATCAGACAATTTGTGTCTACGCTGCAGCTTCGAATTCCTCTTATACGTGTTATATATATAACGCGGTACGCGAGCTCGACGGCTTGTATCAAGTAGGCCGATGCACTAATCGTCTTGGCTTTCTCGTTATTTTCGTACTCGCTTGTCCGCAACGTGTTTGCGTATCCTGCGAGCGAGCGATAATGACGCAGAAAAAAGAAGAGCAAAAGAATCGATCTTTTTTTCGCGCCGTCGTTTGCACCTCGCACGGATGTATAAGTTGTATGCAGATTACGTTTCAAAAATGACTGATCACTGTTTCGCGTGCTTCGCTCGCATGAAATATATACGAACTTGCATTGTACAGTACATAGCTTGGCTTACATCACACGAGCGACTCGCGCTAACTGCGCAGAACCGATAACGATTCCTCGTTTCGATTTATCATTTCATCGTATACACTAAATTGCAGCGCCCGAGCCGTGTCGCCGTGAACGATGGAATACAAACAAGACTGCGACTAGGCGTCGGCCCTCGGTGAAAATCGAAAGTGCACGATCTCTTACCTCCTGAGAGCCATGCGCGGATTGGCGCACTCCTCCTCGGACGGGCCGACGAGGCCCAGGTGCATCTGCGAGCTCGGCACCCAGACGAGCCTCTGTATGCCGTTGCGGGGCCGCTCGGGCCTGATGCGCTCGCACGAATTGAGACTGACCAACGGAGCCGGCGACATCATGGCCGCGGCGGTCGCGGCTCCCGCTTGCCGCCTCATCATATTTATCAGAGAGTCACTGGTGACTCGTGGTCCCGCTGCAGCTCGCAATTTGATTATTACATGCCACAGCAGCAGCTGCGCGCCGGCAGCCTAGGAACCCTGCAAAATCAAGGTAAATTATAACGTGCAGCTTTAATTAGCCACGAGTCGCAAATTGTGTCCACTGCGGATCTGGAATAAGAGCGTGTGTGCTTTTAGTGCAGCTGACCCAAAGAAACGCTGTACCATATGTATGTACGCACAAACGCACGCGTACGTGCATAATAGATACATTTACAAGCTAATGAAGCGCGCGAGAGAGAGAGAGAGAGAGATGCCAAAGAGGCAAGTAACGATGTAGACATAACTGTACAGCCGCAGCAGTGGCAGCAGCAGTAGCAGCGCGTAGAGAGATAGAGTCAAGCAAGTTTTTGCATCTCATAAAATGCAGAATAACGCACTTGTGCCACTGCGGCGGTGCTGCTGCTGTTGCTGCTTTTGCTCTTGCATAGTACATACGCAAACAAGCCATAAATCCTGTACTCGGCGGGAGCGCGCGACTCAACATCATTGCAACTCGCAACCCGCCCGCCTCTCTACATGCCCATTTCCATTTTTCTCATCATACGACTGATGCACGCTCGCGCGCGCGTGTATACAAATCGACGCGTTATTTCCGTTCTCGCAGCGAGAGTAGGTATCTATGCGTGCAGTTTGGAGCAGGCCCCGAGTTCAGCCAACGCGCACGGGAGGAAAGGGAGCGAGCTCGAGCGAGAGAGAAAGACAAAAGTAACGACCGGCCGCAGCGAAATAAAAAGCCAATATCGAGGATGAATCAGGGGGGGCCTATAGTGCAGCGCAGCACAGACAGCATCGGCCCACTTATGCTTTGGGATCGCGTTGTTGCTGTATGTAGCTACGAATATACACATCATGGATACACGTGCGAAATCGTATACGCGTAGCCATGCGTGACGACGTATAAAAGCCAGCGCTCGAGCCTTTTTTTGCCTTGCGGTTCTTTGTTTTTTTTTTTTTTTTTTTTTTGCGGACACACAGCTGCGAGCGCGTGTGAATTTTTTGTATCTGTGCCATTCGCAAATCGTTAGTATATACGCGCGCGAGTGTATAATAACATATTCCTCACAGGGATGTGGTCTAAGGTGATTCCTTCTTTCCTTCCTTCTGATGCTCTTCTTCGAAAATAGCGAAAATTACTTTCCGTTGGCTGGCCATGGGTAAATACAATTATGCATAAGCGGCCTATGGACGCGTACACTCTCTTGTGCAGAATTGCAGCGAGCTCTCGAGAGGTGCGCGTAATTGTTATGTACAGCTGTGTACCACGGCCCAGTGAGTGCAACACGTTTTTTTTTTTTTAGATCGATCAAAAGCTAATACCGTAATTATAATTCGCACCATTGCTAGGTGGGCCCGCGGATATATACGTAAAGTCCGCGATCGCGATCGATCGTTAGGAAGGATACGTCAGCGAAAAATTTAGTTGAGACGCTCTCGCGCGCTTCACACGTATTTAATAGAAACAGAATTGAGCGTCGCGACGACTCGACCTATCGATTTCGCTTCGTTTTCACCGTGTCCAACGTCTGCGATGGTATTTTTTTCCAGCTTAATAAATAAAAATAGCTTACATTGCCGAGCTAGATTGCCCATGCGCGCGCCGTGATTTGCTTTTTTTCGACACGATGGATATAAGGAAAAAAAAGTACATCGCGACGGAGAGGAGTCAATGAACGGGCGGCGAGAAATATATTTGGCTGCGAACAGGCTCGAGGTCATCGTTCTCTCGAGCGGTCACCAGTATAGGGTATGCGTCGCGCGCGCACCTTATTACCCTTATTACAGAGCTACATTGTAAACAAACTCTCTTGGAAAGCTGGGGTATGTTAAGCCATACAGAGAGAGAGAGAGAGAGAGAGAGAGAGAGATAGGCGCGTGTGCAGCTTCTTTTTTCCGTTTTTTTTTCTCCTCCCGTTGCGCGGCTCGGGGAAAGCGCGTTAGTATGTTATACTGGCGACAGTCTCCATATAGCAAGCGGATACTCGAGCGTGTTTTTCTTGCTTTTTTTGCCGCGACTGATTGACAGCTCCTCTCTCTCTCTCTCTCTTTTCTCTGCGTATGTACTATATGCGCGTAGCGTGGACCAGCGGTGGCTTGTCGATATACATAGGTACATGTATAGTAGGTGAGCGTTCCGATAGTAAATGATGATTTTATTGGCTTTTTCGATATATCTCTCACTCTCGTTGAAATTGAAAGCCTATCCTAGGCAAATGCAGATTGCCGTCCAAGCGAGCGAGAAGATGGATTTGTCACACTACTGCTATACTGCTGGTGCGCGTCAAGTTCGAATAAGCAATCGAGCGGCGTGCGGCGATAGTGGCTTACTTTTATGAACTTTTGGATCAACGATTTAGATATACGATCGCCGCGTATATAGCTATGCCGTATGCGTGCGTATAAATCCGAGCGAGCAAATCCCCGACAACAAGCCGCCCCGGCACACCGGTTCGAGCGCTATGTGTTTGAAGTTCTCACTTGAGATCTGTATAAACGTAAACGCGCAGATGGAACCCATTAAACTGACCCATATAATGCAGTGCAGCTACATATACAATATACATACGATCACGGTGCGTGCAGGCAGCAGCAATTCTCACTCGCAACGTGCACAATATGTATATATGCACACACCTAACTTTCCTCATTAAGCTTCAAACACGTGCTCTTATTGTAATGTATACTTGAGGTGTACTTGCAGCGCGCCGTTTCCGAATGAAAAGGCCTAAAAGTGACATCGAGATAAAAAAGCATTTGCCTGCCGCCGCGCGTTGAAAGATGAAATTGTCCCGACACATTATGCGAGTAGGTATAAGTGTGCGTGCTGTGGCACATATATATAATAATAGTGATAATAATAACGTATATAAACAAGCGGCTGCGAAAGTAGAAGTCGACATCCTTCCGCCTCTCATTACACAGCGTCTTGGTGGTAGTCGTCGTCGCATTTCCCACGAGCATAATCGAACAAGGTTATCCGCGTTCGCATGTGCGCACGTACGTTTTCTGTGTCTGTGCCGTGCGGCGAGCTCTCGTCTTACACTCTTCTTCTTCTCGCGGCTCGTCTTCCTCGCTCTCTCACTATGACGACTCTCTCTATATGCGCCGCAGTGATATTGCCTCGACGACGAGCGAATTTCAGCGTAGCTCGTGTGTATGTATGCGTCTCTGTCGCGCCCGAGAGCTCGCGTACTTTCGCGTCTGTTTCGGATGGATTTTGCGAGTATAGGCGAATATACGGTGCGCACTTGTAAGGCGACCCTTACTCCGGCGTTACTCGTATGGTAAAAAACAAGGGCTCTTATCGCGTACGCTCGATCTTATTATTGTATCGCTCCGCAGTCGTATATGTATAGTAGGCTGCTTTCTTGCGCGAGGCAGATTAAGCGTGCCAGCTGAGGGAGAGGAGAGGAGACTCGCGAGCTGAGCGGCTTTAATTAGGCGTTTCTCGTGTACAAGGAAACGAGAGCGACTCTCCTACTCTTTTAATATAATAGTTCTTCAGCCTTTTTTTGTTATCTTTGCATGTAGGCAACGTAAAACGTATGCATACTTATACGCAAGAGAGCGAGAGAAACAATAAGGAGAGCGACTATATTGTGCCGCAGCCGCGTCCCGGAGCGATGCGTACGCTGCATAGGTAGCGTAGGATCGCGCTAGGGGAAGCCGAATCCAATTGAGCGCTTCCGAAAGTGCACATTTACACGTGTGGTTTGAGCCAAATTACCTCGTTAATCCTTCACTTTTCTTATTAATTATAATCCAGGCACTTGATCTTTGGCTTCCTGGCGCAGACTGGTAGGACTGCTATACGACTCCTACGAGCTCCACATGCACGCACCGGCGATAATAACTCACATTGAAAACCGATCGATCCTATCGAGACGTCCGCGACTGTGACAATTTTCATCCGTCGGCGACTCGTTATACATACGCGCTCCAATCTCGATTTCTCTTGCGCCGATTCCGGCACGTAGCTCTCCTTTTGCTATCGTCTTTGCCATTCTATCGTTTACGCATGCGGTATATCTACATTATACATAGGGTACCGTTTGCGCGCAGAGAGCGAAAACATCATATGCAGCTACGTAAAGCACGACGGAGACACGCGCGCGCGCATCTAAGCGAGGAAAGATGAAGGAGCCGCTAATTAACACGGGCTGCACACGCTACCTACCGAGCTCTACGTACACGCGCTATTATTTCATTATGTGCAGCTTGGCGACAATTTCTTTCCGCTCTGTGTACTCGTGCGCACCTGTACATTATCGTACGGCGTTTGCGACTTCTGCTTAAAACGTATACGTACGCTATTATAAAACGTGCATCGTGACACATGCGGTATTAAGTGTATATAATACATCTGGCGCTGCGTGTGCAACCTACGAGATTACCGTTCCGAGTGCCGAAATAATCCGACGCGTGCTCCGTACTTTTTTCGCGCCGTTGATTTCGAGATAACAACGACATAACAACAAAAATGAGAGGGAAACAGCCCGTGGTTTACGCTGAGCTGTCTGCATGCGCAGCTCTTTAAAATGAATACATTGTGCGTGAAAAGTGCGCGTGAGCGAAATCGTCCATCCGTTCGAAAAGAAAAGTGAGAAAATACTTGCTGCCCTGGCACGAGCGCACAGGTATATTACGTATACTTTGAAAAACTGGAAGCTAGTCCCTTTTTTCCCCTTGACTCGTTGCAGCGGGATAGTTTACCCTGTTCGAAGAGCTACAGCAGCAGCGCCAGCCGTCAAGAAGTTGAGTTTAATCCTCAAACTTAAGTTCTCGACTTGACTTTGACTGTGGGGGTATATACTCGGCTTGGCTCGCGCGCGCTAGATCTTCCGGATTGTTATTAGAGAAAGTTTTGAATGCCCAGTAGGGCAGAGAAGTTCAGCAGT